ATTGACTCCAGAGGTATTTAAGTACGGAGGAGACAGTTTACTGTCTGCGTTAACGGAGGTTCTAGGCAGCGTCTGGGAATCAGAGGAAGTCCCATCGGGTTGGTGTAAGTCACTGATCATCCCGATATACAAGAAGGGGGACAAGTCGTCTTGTGATAATCACAGAGGGATTAGCTTGACTAATATAGTATCTAAAATCCTAGGCTCAATAATACTGCGTAGACTAAGTGGTGCTCGGGAGACACAAACACGAGAAAACCAGGCAGGTTTTAGGCCAGGTAGAGGGTGTATTGATCACATCTTCACCCTTCGACAGATTCTAGAACATAGGCATTCCTACCGGCGTCCGACAATCATTATATTTCTTGACCTAAAGGCGGCTTTCGATTCTGTCGACCGGGAGGTTCTCTGGCGATGCTTGGCTGTAAAGGGAATGCCAAGAAAATACATTGCAATGATTAAGGCACTCTACTCGTACTCATGCAGCCAGGTGAGGGCTTATGGCGAGTTGTCATCTGAAGTGGTGACGACTAGTGGCGTCCGTCAAGGATGCCCATTATCCCCATTCCTATTCAATTTCATCCTAGATGTACTAATGGATTTAACCCTATCACACTTCAGCGACTCAGGGATTGACTTGCTACCAGGGAATAATCTCGTTGACTTAGAATATGCGGACGATATAGTCCTTCTAGGCGAGGACTCTGACAAAATGCAGAGTCTACTGAACACCCTGAGCAACAATCTCCGTATGTTTGGCATGCGATTCGCCCCTGTAAAATGTAAGATGATGCTGCAGGATTGGACCTCATCGACCCCTAGATTAGAAATAGGAAGTGAAGTGGTAGAACACGTTGACCGCTTCAATTACTTGGGAAGTACCATCAGCCCCAACGGGTTGATCTCAGACGAAATTTCAGCACGAATACAGAGGGCTAGGTTCGCATTCGCCAGTTTTCGCCGTCTCTGGCGTAGACGCGATATCCGACTATCGACCAAAGGGCGTGTGTACTGCTCAACAGTCCGCTCCGTCCTCCTTTATGGCTGCGAGACCTGGCCATTGAGAGTAGAGGACATAAAAAGGCTAGCTGTCTTCGATCATAGGTGTCTGCGTTCTATCTCCCGCGCGAAGTGGTATAATAAGGTGAGCAATATTGAGGTTAGGCGTCGAGTGCTAGGTAAGGCGGGGAAATCAATCTACGAAACGGTGAAATTACATCGACTGAGACGGTTAGGACATGTGTTACGTATGCCTAGTCATCGCCTTCCTCGACAATGGGCAATGTTAGCTGATATAGGGCCAGGCTGGAAAAGAGCTAGCGGCGGTCAAACCCAAACGTGGCACCAATCAATGAAATCTACAACAGTTAATCTAAGCCACGTAGGAAGATGTAGACTTCCTGGTTGGGGTCCTCGGGACGGTAAAAACCAATGGTTGGAAACAATTGGTGACATGGCTCAAAATCGTTCTCAGTGGCGCAGATGCATCCACTCCTTGTGACTTATGATTTCCAATTAAACTGTTTTGTTCTCCGTTATTACTATTCCTTTGTCTCACACCTCTGTTTACTGTTTCCATTATGCATTTCTTCTACTTCCTTCTCTTGCTTTGCGTGCTACATAGATTGTGGCGACTTGAACTGCCGCACATATGTGCAAAGTTCTATGTCGAAAACCGACCGACCGACCGATATATAGTTAGTTGTTTTTTGACACTGAATAATCTGTCTACCTACATCAAATTCTGCAATTATGTTCCTTATACCTTCTATCTATAACTCCAAGTAATTATGAAAAAAGTATGTGCCAAAACTTTTTTTGAAACCTATAATTTGATTTTGTTTAGGATGTATGCAGTTGATGAGTATGCACGAAATAAAACGAGCTCGTATTATCTTGCAAACATGTTCGTTCTTTCTCTCTTCAAACTAATAAAAGGAACCGGTTGTATTAAATTAATTCTACTTCATGCAGATGAATATTGGGCATAGTTAAGCAGATTTGTTTTACTGTACCAAACAGATGATGATAGTTCTCCAAAGTTGGGCATTACCGCTATTTGCACCTGCATCGGGTAAGTCTGTACCTGTAAGTTGATTAAAGCATAGGAAACTGTTTGGAAACCAGTTGTATCTTCATTTTAGGTTATGAATACCTGCTCGTACAGAATGCTATTCAGCGTCCTTATTTGGTTGGTTACCCAGGATTTTTTAGGAATGCTAAGGCAAACAGAAGAGACGAGGCAAGCGGCAAAGTACCAGAAAAAGACAAAGTGTGTGCACATAAATAGAACTTTAATGTCTGTATATATGTACATGCATACAATCGGCGGCCTCGGACTGAGGTTTCGTGCTAGTTGCCACTCACCAGTCAGTCAGCAAAGCGTATCTGCAACTGCCTTGAAGAAACTCATTTCCCTTCTGTGATTCGAACCCGCGTCGCCCAGTGCTGCAGTCAGAGAATGGTAGCCACATTGCAAACCTGACTAACTCACAGAATTCAGTCTGCACCAAAAATTAGTGAGGACTAGATACATCACACTAGTTACTAACTGACTAGTGTCCAATCAAAGTATTCTCTCTGTCTTTTTATAGACCTATGCAACCAGTCTGTTTATCGTTTATGCAGAGTAACTACTGAAGTTTTACGTGTTCTCTGAACTCTTAATGATCCTCCAACTGTAACCATAGACGAAGACGAAAGAATTGGCAGAAAAATGTTTATTTGGAGTTTGGTATATATATATATATATATATATATATATATATACATATACATATATATATATATATAATATACATATATAGCCAAATACCTTATCGCTAACACCGTTTGCACAGATCCACCGTGTTGTGTTACTTCTGGCCTTCCTTCATATTGCATTTCTTTGTTTTCCTTTCATGTCTCACATGTACCCCCACAACACTGTATCATTTGCTTTCTCGGACATCAAATGTATCTCCCTGCTATTTGACGTTTTCATACCGATGATCATCTCTTTATCTATACATATATATACTACTGACAAATCTTATCAGTAGTAAGTGCCATATAATCAGTAGAATGTTATAGTCTGCATAAAGAGAGCATCCAAAGCTTACACAACTCAGGTGAAGGCTGTTAAATTTCCCAATTCAAAACAAAATATACGAATCAACACTTGCTGAACAAATATCACTACCTACCTGTACACAATAGAGATAGGTATACAAAATATCTCCACATTAGAAAGAAGAATCAATCGAGAGAGCATCGAGAAGCGTGACCACATGGAAACCATCAACCAATAATGGCAGAACAATGAAGAACTTTACAAACATACACACATACAGAGAGACGTAGATCAACTCGAATAACCACACAGACCTCACAACATCATCACAGAGGACAAGAAGATGCAAACACAGTAGATCTACCTCACATGACCAATTACAAAACCTTCCATAGAAGCCAACAACAATAACGACAAGAAACAGATCGTTTGTCCATATTTATATGAAAAGAAAGCTTCAGAGATTATAGATGCGATAGACTAGTCTCAGAGAATTTATGCATCCAGACATTAGGTGCATTATTTAATTGAATTTTAGATTTTCCCGTCGATTGATTGATTGGACCGAAGTGCTCGGTCTTAGGTTGACATGTCTGTTGACTTCTTGTGCAGATGCTTCGACGATGTCTGGGCATGTAATTAGTATTTAATCGGTGGATGGTGACTAGCAGTGGAATCCAGGATAATGCGCATTTCGTCTTGCACAAGAAGCCGACATGTCAACCTGAGACCGAGGAGAACTTTGGTCGAATCAATCAATCGACAGGAAAATCTAAAATTCAATTATATAATTAATATGACCCGTTGCACAGAAGGTGGCCAGCTCTCGTGGCCCAAGTGGTCTAGTGGATAATGCTTTGGCGTCTGAAACTATGGGCACTGGGTCCGAGCCCTGGTGGGAACAGCATCACTCACTGACTGGGGAATGCAGGTACATCCAGTGACGAGTTCCAAGTAGGACGAAATGCACGTTATCCTGGATTCCACTGCTAGTCATCATCCACCAATTAAATTCTAAGTAGATACATTAATTTTTTTATTGTATTCTGAAGAATACAGGAATACAAAAGTAGAACACATGAGAAACCTGACATTATCTACAAAATAAACGACAGCAACCAACGCAAAACACTAATGTATACACAGTCATAACACTCTTTTTCTTTTTTGTCGAAATGCTTTCAAACTAGGGAAAATGAGCAAATCTTTCCATACACGAATTTATAAAGAATTTTAAAAAAATGGGTTTAAGGTGTTTGACCTTTACGTCAGTCAACAATCACAACTGACATGAAAATGCAAGTTGTCTTTGACCACAAAAGTAGGCAGCCTATCTTCCACCTCTACCACCTCTACCATAATATCGTAAGCAACAATGAGATGAAGAGGGCAAGCAAGCCAATCGATAAAGTTGGAAAGCTATATCGATTGAAATGACTACGACACATGTTATGCATTCAGAGCCACCGGCCTTCCTCTTCCAGAAGTAATAGCTGACACACACAGTTAGGTTGGAAAAGAGTCAAGAATGATCGAACCAACACTTGCCATCATTCCAAGAAACCTTTAACAGCTGCTATGGGTAAACCATGTAGAAAGGTGTAGACTAACCAGTCGGGGGTTGTCGAAATGTCAACAGTTAGTGTTAATGCAGTTCACCATTGTGCAGTGAGTAAGAGAAAGAGAGACACAGAGGAATAATTACAGTGGAACAGAGGACGAGAGGGGGAAATGGAGAGAAGAAGCAGGACTTAAAATAATATTGAGGAGCCCTACGTCATCCGTACTTCAAAGTAACACAGACATTAGGAATAAAACAAAAGAAACTTAAAGGCATCATTAACACAATATGAAGTATGTACATGATGATGACGATGATAATGATGATGATTGCATTCCCTAAAAGAATACTGAAAATCTTTATTTAGAAAACAAACACAAAACTCACTTCAATATACGGTACAAAGACAGATAATTGTTGATTCACTGTTTCAATGCGAGAATCCCACATCAACTTTTCTTCCATTATTCGAGCCAACTTTTCCTATTTGAAATTTTTTGATAAATACAAGAGAATTTATTTGCATGTTTGTTTGTTTGTTTTTAAAAACTATCTCAGTCTAATTGTAATGGCTGAAATCAGTACAAAACTGCAAAGTAGACACTACCAAGTGTCCTTGTCTTAAATTGTAATTCAAGCAACTGGCTAGCCAGCTAGCTAGCTACTAGATGAAGCTACACACACACACACACACCGATAAATGGTAATGGGTGCTCGATGTCCGGAGATGACAAGGTGATCGAGGATCGAGCTGTTGCTATTCTTCTTTTCTCCCCTGGCTGGCTATCTAAGCTGGGCAGTGTTCCAGAATAGGTTTGTGGACTTGACGTTGCGTACGGCCGATATACTTTGCTCCACACGAGAGCAAGTAAATTGATAAATACACATTGAAGTGACCAAAAGCGGTATCTTGTCTTTAGAGTTAGACTGGATTAACTGTCTGCAGGAAAATGTGATGCGTAGAGTGGCTGTTGGAAATGTCTTCTTCAGACATTTAGAAAGGCGGTCTCTGAGAATTTCCGCTACGACATCACCTTTGAATTCTAGGTTCATGAAGAGAGTCTCCTCAGGAACCGTTGCGATGTTTGACATCGGAGGCTTCTCCTTCATGTTTTTGTCTATGAATCTTGGTGGATACCCATTCTCTAGTAGGGTTTCAAGTAGTAAATTTAATTCTTTCTCTACCATGTCTTCTGAGCAGATTTTTCTAATCCTTGAACACAATGTGCGTACCAGGTTTCTCTTTGGGATCAGTGAGACAAAGCTCTGGAAGTTGATAAAGTGTTCAGTCCATGTTGGCTTGCGGTATATCGATCTTTGGATCGTATAGTCGTGTCTTCTGGTGAGTAGTACATCAAGGAATGGAAATGTGCTGTTCGATTCGCGTTCTAAGGTGAATCTTATTGATGGATGCGCAGCGTTGAAGAATAGCAACAGCTCGATCCTCGATCACCTTGCCAATTCTACTTCACACAGAATGTTTCAAATATTGATTCTCTTCACATCCTCACACAAATCAGTGTTTCTCCCCTCGTGTATCTTTAAATCTTTCAATCAAGTACAACCACTACTAGTCTCGGCTTCCAAAGTAACTGGTAACAAACACACGCACACACACCGGATCACAACATAATGCCATCCTGAAAAGCATTTTTCACTTTCCTAGGGAAACTGTGCGTCGGTAGGATAGCGGTTAGGACGCTCGCCGACCATGTACATGGTCCGGGGTTCGATCCCCGGCCACAGACGCACTCCTTTACCTCGCTAAGCCAGAAATAAAAGCTGGTGAAGAGGAAAGGTTGGGCATGAGGCTAGCAACCCCATCCTGTAAAAATAAACAGCACTGCTACAGAAACTTCAAGCCATTAGCTTGAAGCCCTGTGTTCCCCTGGGGATCGTGATGGAAAAAAAGGAAACTGTGCAGATGGTCGTGGCCGAGGAGGAGGCGGTGTCAGCGGAGGAGCTATTTCGCCTCCACGAACTGTGCAAGTTGCAGATTGTGAATTTCATAATAAAAAAATAATATCAACTGAGATGCTTGTGAATGACAAATCTACTATTAAAAGATATGAATACATGAAAAAATGAATAGCAGAAACAGAATACAACAACAGATAATACAATAATGAGTGCGCATATCGCAATGATTCAACAAGCTACACTGGCTGGAACTAATGTTCCTGCAGGTCCCACCATGCCAGTGTAAAATTTCTTACCCTATGCTGAGGGACTGTGAGCGAATTCGTGTTGCTGGAGAACAGGAATGTAACAGCAGTAAGGTGTTTCTCTCAGATGACCAACATGTCAGCCAGTGGTGCTGTCTCTCCACTCTGGAGATAGCGGGTTTAGAAAAGGTCAACCCCAACAATTGAACATCCCAACTTAATCTACGGTGGTCCGTAGCCGGCGGTAAGTTACTAACACAGAACCGAACAAAAAAACCAGTTCATACCGACCACATGTGTGACTGGCCTCAAGCAGTTGTCCCCTGGGCTCTGTGGTCACGCAACACTAATTCTATACCTATTACAGGTACTCCAAGAATAAATCAACTTCCACGGTGTGGGCAGTCGGGAAGTAACAAACGCGCACACACTTCCAAAAGCACACGAAGCCCTCCTCCTGTGTGCAGTCATGAAGTGGCGAGGGGGAGGGGAGATGATAACTACCACCACCACCACCACCACCACCTCAATACTAACAACACAATAGAATTGTAAGCTAACTCAGCGATCAAACTTATTATCTCACCCCGTTGAGATTTCTTCTCATTCCTTACGTTTCTCCAGTGGAACCATGGAGCTGCTTCAAGAGCTCTTGACATTTTAATAGCGGTGGTTTCGTTGTTTATTTTACGGGATGGAGAGTAATGTCGGCCAAGAATCGAAACTGCATCCCGTGAGTCGTTGGCGTGTATTCGTATTCCACCTATTTAACTACCAACGCTCTCCCTTCACATGAGTGCAATAATATATACATATATATCACTTAAGTCAGATGGTCGTATCTATGAGTTAACACACGTAGTGTAGTAAAACGGTGAATAATGACCCGATCCACGTTAATTCCTTCCACAATATATATAGCATAGTGTTTATCTGCACTGGAATGAGTATACTGCTCTAATAAGTGCTTTATTACATATTGGATAGATACACAGACAGAAAGAGATTATAAACATCTTAATGTATATGAACACCATCATTACATCAAACGCACATGCCATGAAAGTAGTAGTAGTAGTAATAGTGTGGTGAGAGCCGTCTGCTAGCCAAAATTGGAAGACACCAATTTATGTCAATGTTTACGTCTCAGGTCGAGGAAAATCAAGAACAAAGCCCAACACCTTGAGGAACTCAATCAACCAATCACAGCAGACTTAGCATCGGTGGATACGATTCGCAGATAAATCAACGGACTGTCTAAGAAACGGCAACAAAGAGATGACGGAATAAACTTCAGCAGGAAAACAACCAATCCAAAGACGTTACACCTATCTGTTAACAATAATGAATAATAATGTAGATAAAAATCTATAAATATCTGTTGATTTTCTCAATAAAGGATCTCTTGCCTGGCCCCTTGTCTTATGTCGTTACAGTAGTAGTAGTAGTAGTAGGTAGTAGGTAGTAGGCAGTAGGTAGTAGTAGTAGTAGTAGTAGTAGTAGTGTGGTGAGAGCTGGCTGCTAGCCAAAATTAGTACACAGTAATTTACGTCAATGTTTACGTCCCCAATATTGGTCATGAGAAAAATAAGAACAAAGACTGATTCAACAACCAATCACAGCAGAGTTTGCGTAGGCAGATACAATTTGAAGATAGATAATCTGAGCTTCAAGAAACGGCCACAAAAAGATGAAAGATTAACGTTCAGCGAGAAGCCACCAATCAGAAGACTATTTTTGTTTGCTTACAATAATCTATAATAATGTACATGAAAAGCTATAAATATCTGTTGATTTCCTAAATAAACCATCTGTTGCCTGGTTCTTGTCTTCTGTCGTTACAGTAGTACTGAATTACAAACTGTGACTTAGAATATTTCAGACTACTTGTCCTGCTGTCCAAACGACGTAGTTATCGTTGTAAACTCGACTCCGTGTTTCAAGTCAAACAATATCCCTGGTTAAAGTGAGTGCATTCAAGTATATTTAAAAGTTTACAAAGAATACAAATTATACATATATGTATATTTGCATACATACATTCGTGCGTCGATGACGTAGCGGTTAGAACACTCACCGACCATGTACATGGTCTGGGGGTCGATCCCCGGCCACAGACGCACTCCTTTACCTCGCTAAGCCAGAAATAATGCTGGTCAAGAGGCAACGTCGGGCATGAGGCTAGCAACCCCATCCTGTAAAAATTAGACACCGCTACAGAAACTTCAAGCCACTAGCTTGAGACCCTATGTTCCACTGGGAAAGTGAAGGAAAAAAAATACATACACTCAATTCTGTTTTTCGCTCTTCTTCTTCGCGTAATTGTTTTTTTAAATCTTCCAAGCGTTCATGTTTCTCACTGCATAGTTTAATAAATTCTTCTTCTGACTTTTTAGCAGAATTATCAATTTCTGAAAATAATTCATCTAGTTTAGTCAATTCATTCTTCAGTCCTATCAATTTGGCTTGTGCATCAGGCAAATTCTGAGTTTAAAAATGCAGAGAGAAAAAGAAACAAAAACAAAAATACACTTGGTTATATATATAGGTGATAACATTTCAGACATACAAAATACATCCTACAACACACAATTTTAGATATAACAATCTTGGCCTGGTTAGACTTGTTATCCATTTTGGAAAACAGTTTTTGCAGGTTAACAATTTCAAATCTATAGTGCATGGAAAGCAGCATGACTTAGACAGGTGTATGTTAAGTGTTCGACTCCTAGCTTAAAAATATAAGGAGTGAAGTGGTTAGTGGAACTTGTTGACCTTTTCACTTAAATTGGGAAATTGCATCAACCAGTCCCAACGGGTTGATCGCTGATGAAATTTCAGCACAGATACAGAAGGCCTGTCTGCCACTTGTCAAGTTACACTCTCTCTGGCTTAGAAGGCGTGATATCCGGCTGGCTGATATCCAACCAAAAGGCGTGTGTACTGCTCTGCAGTTCACTCCGTCCTCCTTTATGTCTGTGAGTGAGACATGACCATTGGAAGTGGAAGATATGAAATGATTAGCTTGCTGTCTTTGATCAAAGGTGTCTGTGTTCTATCTCTCACGTGTTAGGCGGTATAATGTGGCGAGTAAAATTGATCTTGGCCGTTGAGTGTTACGTAAGGAGTGGATATCAATCGACAAGGTTGTGAAGTTACTTGTCTAACCATCGCCTTCCTCTACGTTCCAATGTTAGCTGACATAGGATGGATCAGGTTAGAAAAGAGTCAGTGGTGGTGGTCAAACCAAAACAAAGCATCAGTCTATGAAATCAATAACAGTGAGTTCAAGCCAGCCACGTAGGAAGGTGTAGACACTCCCGACGGATTGGGGTGATCGGGATAATTAGAACCAGTGAAGGCTGGAGACAATTGGTGATGTGACTCAAAATCGTTCTCAATGGCTGGCTGGCTGGCTGGTGTAGATGTATTTTCACTCTTTGTGACCTGTCATATCCAATGAAATTCTGTTCTTCATCTCTCTCTCTCTCTCTTTAATCTCTTTTTACTCTCTTATCTTGCTTTGTCGGCTATGTGGAGGAAGAGAGTGGGAACTCGAACTGTTACACAACACATCAGTGCAAAGTAGTTCTATGTAGAAACCAGTCAGTTAGGAATTAGGACACTGCCTAATCACACACTCCCTAATCAATCAATATTATGACTTAAAGCTTCATGTACAACACAACAACATACAAAAGAATTTTGTGTAAAATAATTCCATAAAACTTATATTATTCTGAGATTTAAAATATACAACCAAAGGACGTGTGTACTGCTCAGCAGTCCACTCCGTCATCCTTTATGGTTGTGAGCGAGACCTGGCCATTGAGAGTAGAGGACATAAAAAGGCTAGCTGTCTTCGATCATAGGTGTCTGCGTTCTATCTCCCGCGTGAAGTGGTATAATAAGGTGAGCAATATTGAGGTAAGGCGTCGAGTGCTAGATAAAGAGGGGAAATCAGTTGACGAGACTGTGAAATTACATCGACTGAGATGGTTAGGGCATGTGTTACGTATGCCTAGTCATCACCTTCCTCGACTGACGGGCAATGTTAGCTGAAATAGGGTCAGGCTGGAAAAGAGCTAGCGGCGGTCAAACCCAAACGTGGCACCAGTCAATGAAATCTACAACAGTTAGCTTAAGCCACGTAGGAAGGTGTAGACTTCCCGACTAGTTGGGGTCCTCGGGAAGGTAAAAACCAATGGTTGGAAACAATTGGTGACATGGCTCAAAATCGTTCTCAATGGCTAGTGCAGATGCGTCCACTCCTTGTGACTTATGATTTCCAATGAAACTGTTTTGTTCTCTGTTATTACTATTCCTTTGTCTCACACCTCTGTTTACTGTCTATATTATGCACTTCTCCTACTTCCTTCTCTTGCTTTGTGTGCTACAAGGAGGGAGCGTGGCGACTTGAACTGTCGCACATATGTGCAAAGTTCTATGTCGAAAACCGACCGACCGACCGACCGAAAATATACAATGAGAGTGAGAATGACAGAGAGAGACGGAGAAAAAGATGAACTTACAGAATTGTTAATCGATGCTTTAAGGGTTTTTACTTCATCAATCAACTGCTGAACTTTCTCTTCTTTAGCAGATATAATCATATTAAATTGATCAGTACAATGCTTGACAGCTTCAATTAATCTGGGTATTTCTTTGGAAACATCAAATCCTTTACGATATGTGCATATATCTAAATTACAGTTTTCAGATATGGCTGAATACTGAGGTAACTACACAACAAAAAACAAAAATGAAGCATAATAGTACTACGGTAATAATAATAATTATAATTATAATAAGAGAAGAAGAACAACAGCAAAAGTATAAGGAGGGATTTCTTCATCATTTAGACATCTACGGGGGTGAGATCGCTAGTCTCACGCGTCCAGTCTCTCCACTTTACAGTGGTTACTACTGCTGGCCTGGTGGGTGGCTAAGTGAGATGTCGGAGTTCTACCAGTGTCAGGTGTGTCATTCGTGAGTATTCTGCCACTGAACACTGAACCAGCAACGACGCGTGGCGACTTGAACTGCCGCACATATGTGCAAAGTTCTATGTCGAAAACCGACCGACCGACCGACTAAATAGAATGATGACACTAACCAGTCTGGATATTTGTCATTGAAGAAATCAACTGACAAACTACTTATTGAAGCAGGATATATTGTGTAAGAAAACAAAAAATCGTAATACTCAAGAATTAGTCTAGACAACTAACAATTAAAGTTCACCCCCACCCCAAAAGTATGGTGGAGGTATGTATGTACTTAGAACGCAGGATATAGATAGATTTTTCAAACATATTAACTTAAAGGTGGAGGCAATTCATCAATTCACTTATGAATTAGAAAGTCAAGAAGGGGAGCTTCCAATGTTAGATTGCAGCGTAAAAAGGAGAGAAGATGGGAGGTTAAACATTAGTGCTCACAGGAAACCCACACATTCAAACAGATATTTGGATTTCCGATCATCCCATCCTATGTCAGTAAAAATAGGATTAGTGAAATGTTTAAGTGACAGAGCACAAAAACTAAGTAGTACCAAGGAAAATCTAAGACAGGAAGTGTGACATATAGGAGAAGCCTTAAAACTTAATAATTACCCTGATAAATTAGTCAGAAAGTATGTAGGGAAATGTAAAAATAAAATAAATAATGATAGTATTCATAATGATAATAATAATAATGATAAAATTAATGATGACATGCTTGTCAAACATGCGCAGAATAATGAAAACACCAACAATAAGGAATGTAAACCATCAGTAGTAATTCCATAGAAAGAAGGAACCTCGGCAACCTTACGTAGAATTCTTAACAAGCAGGAATAAAAGTGGCATTCAAACCCACAAACTCAATTAGAAACAAGCTTTGTCGGTTAAAAGATTAATCCTGTGGAGCCTTTAAAACAGAACAATTTAGTTTACCTAATACCCTGCGATGATGGTCAGGTCAAATACACGGAATAAAGCAGTAAAACAGAGGCAGTCAGACTAGCCGAGCATAAAAACCTACCAAAATTTAGACTAGTTGACCCGAATAAGATAAGAAATCTAGAGAATAGTTCAGCTAAAGCACTGCATGCAGTTACACACAACCATACAATAGGATGACAGTTTTAAAATCTAATGTCACAGCAGGGTGGAGGGAGAGATTGATAACAGAAGCTTTGTTTATCGAATCAACTGAGGAGAATACGTGTAATAGGAATGATTCAACACCTGTCCAGTCACATATCTGGAAGACTCTACTAACCCAACGACGACTAATAGGAGAGGACAAAGAAAACTATCAAACTCAAGTTTCGAAGTCGTATGATTATAATTGATATGATTATGAACAATAAACTGTGTTCGAAACTTTGTCATCCAGTGAATAATACTGTTTCACTGGGTGATATATATCTAATAAACAAACTTATATGGAATAACAATCAAAGAATTCCAGCTAACAAAACAAATCATCAAATGAAATCACAAAAGTTAGGAGAAAAAAAGTCATTTCATTCAACGGATACATATTACACTTCAATGAGGATGTTAAAGCCAACGTGGATCGTAAAGACCAAAAAACACACACGTATTATACTTTGAAATCAGTGCAGAAATCACCTACTGCACTCTGGCATAAGGAATCAGATCCGAATTTTCAATGCTAATGTGAAGTGGGTTAGTGTTTTCAATATGATTCGGAAGATGTGACGCATGTGTCATTATTGTAAGGCATTTCTAAACGTCTACAAACCTCCATCAACAGTTGCCATCCATCACAAAGGATTAGCAACACTAGCCTCTGAGGCAACAAACCAACTAACAACCTATCCCTCTTTAAAAAATGCACACACGGAAATCAATTGGATATACGCTGAAACCCCTAGAATGGCAACATCCACTAGGCAGACCCTCGAGTGGAAGCCGGATGAAAAACGACGACGAGTATTTAGGCGTCGTCAAGGATGACATGGAGAAGGGGCAGTGAAACTACAATTTAACACTGTACGACAGGGCTAGGAAGTTATGTTCGCCCAACAAGATAGAAGAAGAATTAAGCTTTGTTGAAAAATGCCTTAAGGAGAACGGGTATCCAAAAGGATTTATCTTAAAGTACAGCAAAGAAAGAGATGAGAAAGAGAAGCATCCAACAGTTGAAAAGAAGAAAGTATTCATTTGCCTCCCATACAAAGGAGAAACAGTATCGCAAAAAATTGAAAAAAGGATGAAAGGAGCAGTCAAGAGATGCTTCCCTGCAGCCAATCTAGTGACACTATACAGTACTACATGCTCTATAAGCCAATCGAAACTGGATAAATACCCTGCTGATGTTACCTCCAACTGCATTTATAAATTTACGTGCACCTGCGGCAGCAAGTACATCGGAAGGACAGAAAGAAGGGCTTTTATCCGGTTTTCAGAGCATATTCCAAGAAACTTATGCTTAAAAGGAAGCAAATATTTACAAAGTGCAATTACCAGACACCTTGTGGATACAGGCCATTTTGTTGAGATTTCCAAATCCTTCAAAATATTAAACATACAAAGGACAGCGAATCTACTACGATTTGCTGAAGCAATTGCAATCAAACGTCTCAGACCAAACTTATGCACACAGAAAGAGAGTGTAGTCAATCTCTCACTCATACACACTAGTGAGGTCAACTCACTAAGCAAGTTTTCAAATTGATGAACTTTGACCTTGTTGAGTTGCCATGTTGACATTGTTTATTAGATTTCTCCGTTTTCTGCCTTCTCTCACCCCCCCTTTTTCTTCCTTTTTTCATAGTTTGATAGTATATAAATTGATGGTAACTTAAACTACAAAACAATTTTAATCCTGATATTCCGGATGCGCTTATCTTATAATGCTTTCTGCATTACCTTTCAAACAATGAAGTATGAAATGTTATTAATTATAACCATTGTAATTTCAGACAGTGGTTTGCAGCTGATGAGAACCTGTGAAATAGCATGATTGCATCATTTTATACTGCAAATCTGGTCTTTCTTTCTCTATCGATTGTTTATCAAGGGAATCAAATTGTATGAAATACAATTTAACTATTTGCATGGCTTACTAAACCGGTCTGTTACACAAAATGAAATCATTAGATGTCCTTACAAAGGTTGTGTACATTGACTGACCACCAGCCAATGAGTCAGTCAGTCAGTCATTAGTCTGGTATAAGTGACTACTCTTGAGCATTAAACATCACTCATCGGTGTACAAAGCAAGACTTACAAGACAAGATACTGATTAAAAATCATTTCAAACCCTATTCATTAGTTAATTAATTAATTGATCAAAAAGATAAACAAACCCTCAAAGTTCCCACAAGACGATTATAATCATCCAAGGTTGGCGCAATCACACCTTCACGACGAGTGTAATCTAATTCTTTTTCTTGTAATTCCTTTAACAACTCTTCTTTAACACGTGTTCTAGCCTCAAAACGTTCACGCAGCACACGATACTCTTGTCCCAACTTTCCATAGCTAGACACAGAAAAAAAAAATGCATTCATCAAATAGAAACAGTAATATTAGGCAAAAGTATTCATTCACTTAGAAACAAAGTGCATTTTTGTAGCCTAAAACAAACTAAGCGTCGGTGGCACAGCGGTAAGGACGCTCGCCGACCATGTACATGGTCTGGGGGTCGATCCCAGGCCACAGACGCACTCCTTTACCTCGCTAAGCCAGGAACAAAGCTAGCAAAAAGAGGAAAGGTTGGGCATGAGGCTAGCAACCCCATCCTGTAAAAATAAACAGCACTGCTACAGAAACTTCAAGCCTCTAGCTTGAAGGCGCCCTATGTTCCACTGGGAACTTGAAGGAGTAAAAACAAAAGCAAACTAATGCCCTACTCTAATCATCTAATATTGCTTATACAGATTTTGTTACTGAGCTATCTGCGAGGTAACAACTCTCCCAAAATATATAAATAGATTCATTAGATTCACTACTTGGAAGCAAATTTCTAGCATATTGGTTTGTTTAAGCACTCCACTTACACAACTCTACGACCACAACCACCACCCAGAATTGACCACAGGGCTTCATCCTTATTCCATCAACTAAGAGGTTTCTACGGCCAGATAGTACACACCATCAACCTTCACATAAATATATATAAATATGCCTCATTGGTTGTTAATTATGACTATGTTATACTCCACAAAAAACACAAATACAAAAGACTATATTTAAAGATCATGGAAGCAATTTCATTTTTCAACCAGATAATATATTTTACAAGTATTGGTTTGTTGTAGGGATTTGGTTGATTGGTTACAGGATTTCATAATGAGCTGTCTTCGGTTAGAGAACCAGTGGAAAACCAACAAGTAATACTGCGAGACAGCTGTTTCCTCCTAGTTTGAGATGTTTCAGCAGTACTCACTCACCACCAAGGTTCGAACCCAGGACCTTCTGGTTACGAGGCGAGCTACCTCGTAGACCATTAAGCCACTGGGACTCGATCCAATGGCCAGTCCAAGAATTCCAACTTATGCCTATTCACAACATAGCACGACTGCCAGCCAATGTCTTCAGCGAGTATATCCTCACGCCCAACTTTCTGTAAACTACTGATCACGACTTGCCCTTAGAACCCCAGGTAACTGCCTACCTGAATAGGGTCAGTCGCTAGTGAGTATCTCATTGATATTCAAGTATTGGTTTGTACGGATCTACGCGCTCTCCTTGTAACAAGAAGGTCCTAGGTTCGAACCGTGGCGGTGACGGCGTACCGATGAAGAGTCCCAAACTAGGACGAAACAGTTGTAAAGTACTCCGCGGTGGTTTTCCAATGGTTTTCTAACCGATGTCAGCTCATGATGAAATCCTGTAACTAATATACTATAGCCGTGAAATAAATGTGTGGCGTGTGCTACTGACAAGATATACCAGTAGTATATTACGAGAGACGTTAATCACCGAACAAAAATATCAAACAACGGAGTGATAGACTTAACATCAAAGAGAGAAAGTGAATTAGTGTGGCGGCAAAATATGAGAGACACGAAAAGAGGATGAAGAAACACAATACGAAGGAAAGGCAGAAGTAGCACAATATGGAAGAACTGTGCAAATGACAATTTTCAGATAAGGCGTATATATATATATATGTATATATATATATATATATTCCATATATAGCGATATCAAATTCCAAATAAACATTCTGATACTAGGCCTCTTGTCTTCTACCGTTTGTTTATGAAAGTGAGTAGCATTCCTATATTGTCTGCTACTACAAATGTAATGTCCAGACAGAAAAACAAAATAGACGGTATATACATCGTGTAACACAACTGTGTAAGATCCATATGCACCACATCAATCATTATTGTTATTATTGTTCCCTTGGGTTCCTAGTGGAACATAGGGCTTCAACTGCACGTCTCCACTTGCTTCTGTCTTCTCCTGTACTTTTCACCTGCATCCATGGTAGTCCATACTGTTTCAACTCTTCTTCACACGATCTCCTCCATGTCACCCTTGCACCGACGAACCACTCGCCGCTTCCCTTTCGGGTTACACTCCAGCACTGGCCTGATGCGCGATGTCACCCAGCGGCCTCCTCAGTGGGTGTCCAATCCATCTCCACTTTCTCCTGCATATTTGCTGGGCGATTGGTTCTTGTTTTGTTTGTTCCCATAGTGTCTTCTTGGTGATTCTTTTCGGCCACCTGATCTTCAGTATAGAGCGAAGACAGTTGTTGATAAAGGTCTGCAACAGGCTGTTGGAAATATTCTTTGTGACCTGCCAAGTTTCTGATCCGTATAGCAAAACTTACTTGACGTTTGTATTGAAAATCCGAATTTTGTTGTTGATGCAGGCTGAGTGACGAAGATTTCCAGATTGGTTTCAGGTTGATGAATGTGTTTCTCGCCTTCCCTCCCGATTCTCGATTTGACATCCTCGTCCGTTCCTCCTATCTGTAGTTGAGACAATGCTCCCTAGATAATTGAATGAATTAACCTCTTTCCAATCCCTTCCGTTGATGGTGATTGGCACTGGATGTTGCTGCTGTTGTTGTTGGTTGGTTGGTTGGTTATTTTCATAACCTCCGTCTTACACATCAATCTTGAACACCTCAAAACACAAGATTTCAACTTGGAATATAACATCAAGTCTTCATTCTATTTTTCCCTTCAAAGTTGTTGGGACGATGGGGTAGGAGATTTCCTGTCTGCATTCATCGGTCGGTCACTGGGAGTGCAAACACGCTCACGTGTTTAGTCCTCAGTGTTGGTGCCAACTGACCAACTGATTCACTCACCTAGTGGATTCCATCAATCAAGTTTTCATAATGTGGTCACACCAAGCAAGAATTATTCTTAGGTGGTTGGAAGCAATCGACAGAGAGCCTGATATATATATATATATCGTGCTTTCTGCCACTCGTCAGTTGAGGTGTATTTGTATCCTCGAAGGAACTCATCACCACCACCCATCGGAGATTCTAATTCCCCTCACGTAATGTTCCATTTACAGATGTCACTATCAAGCTATGAGAATCTCAACAGAACAGATTTCATTCCATTTTTCAATTAATGAGCGGATATATATATATATATATCTGTCTATATCGTAATGTGTCGTAACATTAAATTTTAACTGTGGGTTATCTAAAATACGTCCAAATAAGCTAAAATGAGCCAATGTTCAGGACAACACTAGGTGACACAATAATTACGCAATAATTAAATTCTACATAAATTTCCTCGTAGAAACAAAAAATTCTATAAAAAAGCAGATTACAAAAGGGGAAAAGAAACTTGGGAAGCATTGAAAACAAAATACACCCACCCACCCACCCAGCATCGTCTTGTTGTTTTAATTTTGCACGTAATTCAGCCAACTTCAATTCACTTTCTTGCAATTCTACCTCAATGTTTTTTACACTCTTCGTTAACTCATTCTCCATAGACTAGAAGCGAAAAAAACAAAGTAAACAAATGACAATAAACAAAGAAATCCAGTGATTTCAAGATAATGTAATGCATCCCCAAACTGACTTCAGTTAGAGAATCACTGTGAAGTACTGGACAGCCGCCGTTTCGTCCTTCTCTGCGACTCTTCGGACAGTGCGCACCGAGTGTTACTATATGCACAGATTTGATTTGCCTTCCGGGTTACATCACCAAGTGACTTTAGTTAGAGACACATTACTTACATAAGAGAATGTTAATCAATAAACACCTACGATTTCATTCATGCAATCAGGAATTTTACACACACACACACACACACGCATATGGGGTGTGAGGACTACTGAGTGGTGTTCGGACAGTAGATCAACTAGTTGGAAGTCGACTGTCTAAACTTATCAGTCACACCGTTCTACCGCTTACAAGCAACACACTCTCAGAGAAATGTCGTGCATTGCTGTACACCAAACAGCTATGCCCATCATCTTAAAACATTTCGAGATACCTTCCATATTATGCAAAATCATATTACTACAACGTCCAAATTGAAATCTTTACTAAATATAACAACTGTTCCACGTGATTCGCCTGTACTGTTAACATAATGGTCTCACGATATAAGTGGAAGATTATCAAGTTTACAGTTTATATGCCTTCAAATCTTTAAAAGTCTTAAAACTCCAATATCCTTGAAATTGGTGCTGCTAGATAATAATAAAAAAAAATACTGACGATACTGATAAAAGCAGATAAGATCCTCTTGAGAAAAAAAAATATGTCTTTCCCTGCTACATGAATGTTTCCCAGTTCACTGCATCTAAAAACATGAAAACCGAGATTAAATGTTACTCTATTACGACGACAAGAGGAGAAAAGAGTCGGTGTTCAGTATAAACCGAACATTTGACCTCAACTTAGATAAAAGGTCAAATAATCGCATATTTATTCGTATATACTATCCAGTCAGACACAGCTTAAATATTTTAAACTTCCAAGTGAATGACTTCCATCTCCCAGTCGAAATGCTCTGATGTGACCACGCATTCATAGCCTGCTTCTGGTCAGGTAAGTCCTATTCATCATGGTGGGGGTATTCCTTACAATAGTAAAAGGGTTAATGAGAGCCTCTGGAGATCACAACCGAACTACTGGACATGCAGGTCTATCTAGGGGAGCTAGAAAACCCTGTGTTCAAACGTTGAAATGAAATCTGCACGCTGTAAATCTCCTCATACGAGCTTGCCTTGTAACCAGAAGGACCTGGATTCGAATCTCAGTGGGTGCGTACTGCCGATGATTCCCAAACTAGGCTGATGAAACAGCTGTCCAGTACTCTCTGGTTTTTTAATGGTCCTCTAACTGACATCAATCCGTGATCAACTCGTCAAAACAAAACTAACCCTTACAAACCAAACTATAGAAAATCTCCTTATTCTTGGTTTTGAAAATTCTTTGTATTGATTTTATTCCTTTGCGTTCTGAGCGGAACATACGGCTACAGCTTTGAAATCTCAATAGCAGTGGTGGCACTCTTTCACGGGTGGGAGAGTTGTGCTAGCCCCTCGTCAAACCTTCCCACCTCATTGCACTTACTACCTAGAGAAGCGAGGTTGAGGAGCATGCCCGTCGGACAAGGATAGTACCCCGAACCACACGCATAGTTGCCGAGCATCCTACCGTTGAACCACTAACACATGAGGCTTTGACAAACAACACACCGCCAGTGTTCAACTGAATGCACCGAGGAGACGGGAAGGCAACGCACCTTTGAAGTAGACATAGGCGCTGATAGGTATATTTGGTCTCCCTACGAACTCTAACACTAATCCAACTCCAATCAACATTAATATCTCACCAATTAAGGTTATCATCTAACTCTAACTTGTCTGTAGCCTAAACAATAACCTTAATCTTCCCTAAAAGCCAGCCTACCTTAAAACTTACCAGATATCACGTTTAATATCGTAACATTTCATTTAGCGTACTGTTTTCATGAATTGTGATATCATTCGCCCAGTGCCTCTCATTCACTAATTTTCTGACTGAGTATTCCAAAGTCATTGATGCGTTCGTGCCACTTCAGTGTCTAAAGTCTAACTCCACCATTAGACTGATTTAGTATCACTAGATAATCACTCAATAAAAGAAGAACGTATTTTCTAAACAACCAACCTCATTACAAGTAACAATTACAGTAGAGAAAATTAAAACAACCAGTCCCTTTGATAAATTTGAATAAGGCATTAAGAAGACAAATTTCGCCGCCAGATGATACCGTCATTTCGTAGTTTCTTTACAACCGCTTTACAACTTACATGGTTAACAATAATAAAATAAAGTTCATGACAATTACTCAGTTAAATAAAACGTTTTCCTGGATATTAATATGACTACGAGAGATGACGGAACGATTCAACGATCTATTTTTCGTAAACAGACATGGAGTGAACAATAACTTCATTTTACCAGTTTTGTTCCTATCCAATATAAACGTTCCCTAGTGAAATGTCTGTTCTCAAGGGCCCGAAAAATATGCACGAGTGACACAGTGATGGATGAGTTTCGAAATATACATTCAGTTTTTATTAGCTAATGGTTATCCAGAGAACTTTATCACTTGTCACAGTAAAGAAAAACCACATCTCGAAAAGACAGCTTCTGTACCAAAGAAAGCTATCTATCTTTATTAACCTACCATTCAAGGGCGACCAGATTATGCAGTTGACAGCTAGCTCAGTGACTTCGGTCAGCCATCAAACGCACATTCTACGCCACCGCATCTCTTTTTCTCACTTGACGAACATTTTCGATCCCTGTACCTACCTACGATTAAAGGACGAAATTCTGTGGACTCTACTTCAAACTGTATCTACAAGTTCACCTGTATTTGCGGTGACACCTATATAGGTAGAACCAACAGAATGTTGCAATGTGGTCGTCGAAAAGGACATGTTCCAAAATGGCTACTAAGTCATATAGAAAATCCCAATGCAATAATTAATCTGAATAGAAATCCAGCAACATCCATTGCAAAACACTTATTAATGTCAGATCACAAAATCAATATTAATGACTGTTTTACAATTATTTCACATAACTCTAATTTGAGGTCGGTTATTGCAGGTGATAGAAGCACTTTGGATTAATCACATACAGCCTAAATTGTGTGTACAAATAACAATAGACTTCAACCTTCTCGTCTACCATGGACTACTTGACCTATCTAAATATGATTGGTCATTAGTAGGTACTTTGGTGTTTTTTATTTAACTGAGTAATTGTCATGAACTTTATTTTATTATTGTTAACCATGTAAGTTGTAAAGCGGTTGTAAAGAAACTACGAAATGACGGTATCATCTCGCGGCGAAATTTGTCTTCTTAATGCCTTATTCAAATTACAGTAGATATCAAGGCCGTAAAGCTGCGGCAGCATACAAACGGGTTATGCACTTCAGCTATTCTCCATTATCTCATATTCACCTGTGTAACATATGTGAACATGCTTAGACAAACGTGAAAATGAGAAGGAGAAGAAGAAAAAGAAATCACAAAACCAGACCAGTTTTATCCCATAGCAAACACACCCACCTTAATGCTACATATCTGAGGTTCAATATTATGCATCTTTTCATTCAACAATTGGATCTTAGAATTCAATTCGTCGATTTCTCCTTTTAACACATTTTCTTGATTACAGTTACTCTTCAAACTCATCAGCTCCCTGTCTCTTTCATTCGCTCGATCACGAGCTTTATCCATATCTTCATCACTTGGAGCGCCCAGTGTTATACTGATAGATGATTTCAGACCCTAAGGACAAAGAAAGCAAGGAAATATTACTTTTATTATTATTATTATTATTACCATCAGTATTAGTGGTAGTACTAGTAGTATTTACTTAGGTTCCGAGTGGAACACACGGCTTCACAACAGGACACCACCATTTCATCCTGTTCCCTGTAGTCACCATCATCTAGCTCGACAATTGCTTATAAACTCTTATCCCCTCCAGGTCACACTCGCACACCCAACGCATCGTTTCCCATTCGGGTTCCCCTCGACAGTCTGGTACGCACACAATGTCACTCAATGGTCGCCTCACTCAGTGTACACCCCCATCTATCTCCATTTTCTTCAGCCTATTTGTCGACCGATTGGGTTTTTGGTTGGCTCCTTGCTAAACACAGAGTACCTTGTTGCTTATACCTTCTGAACATCTGATCGCCAATGAGAAGCCAACCGCGGCAGCTGGTGACTACAGTCTGTAGTAGCCTGTTCCAGATGCTTATGATGACACGCCAAGTGCCTGAAGCAACATATAGAATCACTGATTCATTTGATATTGGTGTTAACAATTCGATTTTTGTTCAATATGCTTAGCGCGCAGTAGACTTGCAAACTGATTTCAAAGTTATGAAGGTGTCTACCTTGCATTCCCACTGCTGGCTGACTGGCTTTCACATCCTCATTCGTGCACCACACTGTCCCTAGTTGAAACGATTCTAGCTAGATAGGTGAAAGAAATGACCCGCTTCAAATTTCTCTCCTTAATAATGATTGATGCTTCTTGTTGTTGGTGATAGCGGTTAGGTGTCTTCACCTAGGTCTTCTCTACGTCCACTTAAAGCCCTTTCTCTCTGCCTCCTCTTCTACCGACCTGTTGGTTTTCATTCAGCCTGTGCATCTTCGAGTCTGTATGACATCAAAGATAAATCACCGGTGAAGGTCAAGTCTTCTACAGTCTTCTCGCTCCTACGCACAGTCTCATGCATGATCTCCTCCACCTCCAGTTCATTTGTCTACTTGTAACTACCCGTTCCTAGTCCCATCCTGGAAAAAAAGGAGGGAATGTTGGGTGTAAGGCTGGCAAACCTTAGCCAGGAAAATCAACCCAATCGCTACACAAACTTCAATGCATAGCAAAAATACCAAAAATAAAGAATAATACCTAGATACATCACAAACACACACTCACACGGTCAATGTCCAACATTCATGAATGATAAATACAGTCTTTACGACTTTCTTTTCAAAAATGCAAAATATTAAAATAAATTCTAGATTCCTTACACGTGAAAACTTTTGCAGAAAATTTGCCAACAATTACCTGGCCCTCAGTAGAGACTATAAACTCCTAATTCTTCTGACATTCAGTTTATTTTATGTTGATGCTGTTCAGCTGTAATTTATCAATATTATTTAAACATTAATGTCGTTCATAAGACTAACTCATTCATTCATTATAATGTATATATAATTGTAGAACCTGATGATGAATATATCGAAAAGAGTACTCTTTGTTCCGTGTCTATTCTTTTGAAAATTACCTATACCACAGTTAACTACTTACTACACGTCAACTTTGAGGAAAATAATCTCCAACTTACTGAAACTTTTCCACGTTCACACTTTTCCACACTCATGTTATCATGTACACAGTAGGCGTGAAACTCAATCCAAACAGTCTCATACCTTGGATTGATGATTTTAATAAACTTGTACATCTATTTCCACTCCCCCAGTCTATGTGCATACCAAACGCACAATAAGTTCGGTGAACGCATGACATAGACACCACAATAACCGTTCCGCATTGAAGAATTAGACCATGAGAAGATAATGACATCAACAACAACAACAACGACACGCTTCGATTTCTTAATGACTGCATCAGCAAAGTCTACACACATTAGTACATTATTTACACCAAAAACTACCAACTTTGTGAATTGTATTGAACTCGGTCCAGCAAACCTTTAGATTTTCCTACACCCAACTCTTTTTTGTCATTTAACACAATCCAGTTTGAAAAAAAAAGATATGAGATGGTTCAAATATTTTTTCGATCAATTACTCCAAAAACCTCAGCCTATCTCACGACATACTCTCTCTCTCTCTCTCTCTGCTTACCCCATGATGGCCACACAACAACAAAAAGCTCAAATGTCGAATGTTATGTAAGGATAAAACTTGGACAGTGTGGTCATGTACAATTACATTATTTTGACAAGATCACACCGTATTATATAGTAATATTTACTGGTAACCACATTCCGAGCACAGTTTATTGCTGCTCATAATCATATCAAGGTACTCACTCACACAACTTTCTTGCTTCATTTACATACACGAGTAAAAATTAATGATTAGACATTTGAATAAAATCAATATAAGATAAAGTACATTCGGAAATAATACTATTAGTGTTATCAATCAAATACAGTCAGATGGGAAATAAGATGAGTGTTTTTATAGTAAAATAAATAAGTAACTTGTTAGAATGTTAGAATGTGAATTGATGGAATACATTTTAACATTATTTATTATCCTCCTCTGATTTGACTGACTGGTGGTAATAGTATCTTCTATATCTCTGGTATTTGCGTTGACTCACTTCTACTGCATGTGTTGGGTGTAGGGAGACTCGATGAACCAGGCAGGATTCAGTAATCAATCTCTCTTTATCTCCACCTACCTATATCACTCTTTAGAATTTTGACTCTGTCCCTGCCACCCACCCTATTGTGTGGTTGTGTGTTAATGCATGCAGTGAGATTACTGAGTTTTTTTTCTAAATTACTTATCTTCGTGGGATCAATCATTCTAACCTTAGCTAAGTTGCTTACAGGATTTCATCATGAGCTGACTTCGGTTAGAGAGCCAGTGGAAAACCAACAAGTAATACTGCGAGACAGCTGTTTCGTCTTAGTTTGAGATGTTTCAGCAGTACTCCCTCACCACCAAGGTTCGAACCCAGGACTTTCTGGTTACGAGGCGAGCTACCTCGTAGACCATTAAGCCATTGGGACCCGATCCAATGGCCAGTCCATGAATTCCAACTTATGCCTATTCACGAAATAGCACGACTGCTAGCCAATGGTCTTCGGCGAGTAAGTGTCCTCACGCCCGACTTTCTGTACCCTACTGGTCACGACTTGCCCCTAGAACATACCTGAACAGGGTCAGTCGCTAGTGAGTATCTCATTGATTTTCAAGTATTGTTTTGTAGGGATTTGATTGATTGGTTACAGGATTCTTGTTTGGTCTGATAATCTCACTACCCCTAAACTACTAGTTTGACCTATGTATTTGACTTAAACAGTCATTGCAAGGTATTTTGTAAATTATGTTATTTTGTTTAATTGGGTCTGCCAGGTCCTTTAGCCTATAAGCTTTTCCTGAGTGAGTTTGTAGGTTTGAATGTCTCCCTAATTCCTGCTTTATTAAGAATCCTACATAGGGAGGGTTTCAGATGTCCCGTTCGTGTATATGGTAAAACTGTAGATGCCTTATATTCTTTCTCATTTATGTTATTATTATTAGCTCCACCCTTATTTTTATTTTGCTTTTGATCATTTTTATCTTCCTAATGAATTTTATAGGATGGTTGAATGTTATCATTGCTAAAACCTCTCTTATGCCCGTGTACACGTTTCACAGACATTTGCGCACAGAACACAAGATGAACGACATCGACGACTGATAATACTGTGGTGAGAGCTGGCTGCTAGCCAAAGTTGGTAGACAGTAATTGACGTCAATGTTTATGTCCCCAATATTGGTGGTGAGAAAATGAGAACAAAGGCTTTGCGTAGGCGGATACAGTTAGCATATGGATGATCTGACACAGCCACAAAGAGATGCAAGGTTAACTTTCTGTGAGAAACAACCAATCAAAAGACTGCATTTTCTACTAACAACAATCTACCATAATGTATATTAAAATCTATAAATATGTGTTGATTTTCCATAATAAACGATCTGTTGCCTGACCCTTGTTTTCTGTTGTTACAATACAACTTACCAGAATAATGGATACCATATCACTTGAAAAGATCACAATCACAAGTCTTTTGTATCCACCCATCATCTCGATCCGACAACTCTGACTATCCTACACTCCAACCTCCATCACATGTGTAACAGGATCAATTTCATATGGAGTAGTTAAACACTCAACAACAAAAAAATAACACAAAAAACCTTAACAATTATAAAAACATACCTGAAGTACAGAGTCAGTAATATTAGGGACTCCGCGTTTTCTCTTAAACAAGGATAACTTCAATTTATGAATAAACTTGTTGACTGTTGCTTTCTCAATGGAATTTCCATCACCTTCAGCAACGGGAATGTCAAATTCACTGAACTAAAACAAAAGAAAAAATTTGGTATTCAAGTATTGGTTTGTAGGGATTTAGTTGATTGGTTACAGGATTTCATCATGAGCTGACATTGGTTAGAGAACCATTGGAAAACCTGCCATGGAGTACTGGACAGCTGTTTCATCAGTCTAGTTTGGGATTCTTCAGCAGAAGGAACCCACCGGGGTTCGAACCCAGGACCTTTGGTTACAAGGCTAACGAGCTCGTAGACCATTAAGCCACTGGGACCCGATCCAATGGCCCACTAGTTCTAACTTCTGCCAATTCACGATACAGCGCAACCGATAGCCAATGTCTTCGGCGAGTATTTGTCTTCACACCCGACCTGCTGCACCCTACTGGTCACGACTTCCCACTAGAACCCCAGGTAACTACCTACCTGAATAGGGCCAGTAGCCAGTGAGCATCTCATTGATATTCAAGTATTGGTTTGCAGGGATTTGATGGGTTACAGGATTTCATCATGAGCTGACATTGGTTAGAGAACCATTGGAAAACCTGCCATGGAGTACTGGACAGCTGTTTCGTCCTAGTCTGGGACTCTTCGTCAGCACGCGCCCACCGGGGTTCGAACCCAGGACCCTCTGGTTACAAGGATTAAACGGATATGCATAAGTGATTAGAAAACAGTAATTACTTGTTTCGCATGCACCACGCCTTCTATTAACCAAATCATTGCGGTTACAACGGAATTCCATGCCTGAGGAGCACCAGGTGCGACTAGATGTAGTTTACTCAGAGGGTTAGGATAGCCAAACTTCTTAAGAGTACTGCACATAGAAGAAGAAGAAGAGAATTAGTAATTCTTTTAAAAAAACAAAACAACGAAAATTAAAATGGATTTCCCTTACCTTACAAATACTGCTTCTGTTTTCATCCCACCACCTTCAATGCGAAATGTATCATCAATTTGACGAACAATATGCTCAAACATTGAGAATATCTCTTTAGAATTCAGTGTCGATGAAGCCTCGGGTGAAGGACTGTTGTAGTTTGTATTTATTAAAAACTGTTATTTCCATTTTGGTGAGATAATTCTCAACTATACTTTTCTCTTACTTGCATTAAACTTTCAACCGATTCGTTATTCTGTGATTTGTATTTCACATCACGATTTACAGGATTTTGTTCTTGTCCAATAACAGACGTTGGTCTGGAAAAGTAATTATCAAGTCGTATGACGGCAAATAATTAAAAAAAAATTTTACCTTGCCTGACGACTCTTTCTATCCGGTTGAAGACTGTAGTTACGACGCATTATCAAATCTAGATAAAAAAAAGTTTTCAGATAGTTAAAAAGCGAAAATATTACAAATTCAATATTTGTAGGTTCATGAAGAATAAAAAAACTGACTAGTTTCAACATTTACACTTACATGCACACTGACTGACTGACTGACTGACTGACTGACTGACTGACTGACTGACTGACTGACTGACTGACTGACTGACTGACTGACTGACTGACTGACTGACTGACTGACTGACTGACTGACTGACTGACTGACTGACTGACTGACTGACTGACTGACTGACTGACTGACTGACTGACTGACTGACTGACTGACTGACTGACTGACTGACTGACTGACTGACTGACTGACTGACTGACTGACTGACTGACTGACTGACTGACTGACTGACTGACTGACTGACTGACTGACTGACTGACTGACTGACTGACTGACTGACTGACTGACTGACTGACTGACTGACTGACTGACTGACTGACTGACTGACTGACTGACTGACTGACTGACTGACTGACTGACTGACTGACTGACTGACTGACTGACTGACTGACTGACTGACTTACTTACTTACTTACTTACTTACTTACTTACTTACTTACTTACTTACTTACTTACTTACTTACTTACTTACTTACTTACTTACTTACTTACTTACTTACTTACTTACTTACTTACTTACTTACTTACTTACTTACTTACTTACTTACTTACTTACTTACTTACTTACTTACTTACTTACTGACTGACTGACTTGTTTCGACGTAGAACTTTGCACCGATGTGCAGTAGTTCAAGTTGCCACACTCCCTCCTTGTAGCACACAAAGCATGAGAAGAAAGTAGAAGAAGTGCATAATATAGACAGTAAACAGAGGTGTGAGGCAAAGGTATAGTAATATCTATGATTTATATAGTTTTATTAGAAATTACAAATTACAAGGAGTGAATGTATCTGTACTGAACAAAAGAGTAAAGAAGAGTGCCAGAGAAGACAAAAGAAAGTACTATGAAACCATGGCAAGTGAGGCATAACAAGCTGCAGGCAAAGAAGACCTCGCAACACTCTACCAAACAACTAGGTACCTATCGGGCAAACGTTTGACACAAATCAAGCCGGTGAAAGATGACAACGGAAAGTCCCTCACCAGAGAAGTGGAGCAAAGGAAACACTGGGCTGAACACTCCAAAAGACTCCTAAATCGACCACCACCGACAACGCGCCCAACAATACCAACAACGGAGACAGAGCTACCAGTGAACACCAACACCCAGACGAAATCAGAAGTCCTGAAGGCAATCAAGATGCTAAAAGCTGGAAAAGCAGCAGGACCAGATGGAATCCCAGCAGAAGCATTGAAAATGGACCCAGAGACAACAGCGGACTTGATGACGCCACTACTGGAGAAGGTGTGGAAAGAAGGCAAAGTACCTGGGGATTAGAAGAAAGGATACTTATTCAAACTACCAAAGGAAGGAGACCTAAGTCAATGCAAGAACTGGCGCGGAATTATGCTCCTGTCCATCCCAAGCAAAATACTAAGCCGCATCATCCTGGAGACAATCAAACATGAAAACCTGGATGAAAAACTTCGACCGGAACAGGCTGGATTCAGGAGGAACAAGTCATGCATTGTTCAGATCGCCACATTACGGATCATCATTGAACAAAGTTTGGAATGGCAGTCACCTCTCTATCTCAACTTCATCGACTTTGAAAAGGCCTTCAACAGCGTCGATCGAGAGGTGATTTGACAACTACTTCGCTACTACGGGGTGCCACCGACAATTATACATCTCATCCAACAGCTGTACGACAATGCTACATGCCAAGTAATCCACAACGGAAACTTACAGAATCCTTCGAAGTGAGGACAGGAGTAAGACAAGGCTGCCTACTATCACCAATGATTTTCCTAATTGCGGTAGACTGGATAATGCGACAGACAGTGGGCAGCGAGGAAACAGGCATAAAATGGACTCACACAAAATACTTGGAGGATCTGGACTTCGCCGATGATATATGTCTGATTTCCCACAAACTGGAAAATATACAAGTGAAAAGCAACAAGTTGGCAGAAGAAGTATCAAAGATAGGACTTCAGGTAAACATAGAGAAAACAGAGGTGATGAAGATTCCTGGGCAACACCAACAGCAACAACAACAGACAACAATCAGCATAAATGGAAAGGCAGATGGAACTGACGAGGATATCAAAGCAAGAATCGGAAAAGCAAGACAAGCTTTCACTACTCTCAAGTCTGTGTGTGGAGGTCAACAGCACTCAGCATCAAAAATAAGATGTGAATTTTCAACTCCAATGTGAAGTCAGTCAGTGCTACTATACGGATCAGAGACTTGCACTGCGCGTCATAAAGAGCATCTCAAACAAACTACAGACCTTCATTAACAGTTGTCTTCGCTCAATACTCAACATCAGATGACCAGAAAAGATCACCAACAGGGATCTCTGGGAGCGAACCAACCAGGAACCGACTGTGAAACAAATATGCAGAAGGAAATGGAGATGGATTGGCCATACTATGAGGAAACCATCAAGTGACATCACTAGACAAGCCATTGCTCAAGTGGAACCCGAAAGGGAAGCAGCGAGTTGGTCATCAATGCAAGGGTGACTTGGAGGAGGTCATGTGAACAGGAGATGAAAACGTGTGGGCAGACATGGAGCCAGGTGAAGACTCTAGCAGAGAACCGAACGCAATGGAGACGCACGGCTGAAGCCCTATGTTCCTCTAGGAATAAAAGGATGCACTAATAATAATAATAATAATCTGTGCTAGCCATTGACAACGATTTTGAGCCATATCACCGACTGTCTACAGCCATTAGTTTTTACCGTCCTGAGGACCCCAACAACCAGGAAGTCTACATCTTCCTATGTGGATTTCATTGACTGATGAAGCCATATTTTGGTTTGACCACCACTGGCTAGCTCTTTTCCAACCTGACCTTAAGCCAGCTGACTAACATTGCCCGTCGAGGAAGGCAATGGCTAGGGATGCGTGTATAACACATGTCCTAACCACCTCAGTCGATTTAACTTCACAGACTCGTCTATTGATTTCCCCTCTTTACCTAGCACTCGACCGATGGCCTAACCTCAATATTGCTCACCCTATTATACCATTTCACACGGGAGATAGAACGCAGGGACCTACGATCAAAGACAGCTAGCCTTTTCATGTCCTCTACCCTCAATGGTCAGGTCTCACAGCCATGAAGGAGGACGGAGCGGACTGATGAGCAGTACATCCGCCCTTTGGTCAATAGCCGGATATCACGTCTACTAAGCCAGAGATGGTGTAAACTGTCATATGTGAAACGAGCCTTCTGTACCCGTGCTGAGATTTAGTCAGCGATCAACCCATTGGCGCTGGCTGATGCAACTTCTCAAATAAGTGAAGTGGTCAACACGCTCTACCACTTCACTCCCTATCTTCAAGCCAGAAGTCAGTGTAGTCCAGTCCTGTAACATCACTTTACATTTGGCGGGAGTGAATCGCATGCCAAACATTCGCAGATTGCAGCTCAAGGTGTTCAGAAGACTCTACATTTCGTCAGCGTCCTCACCTAGAAGGACTATGTCATCTATATATTCTAAGTCAACGAAATTATTCCCTGATAACAAGTCGATCCCTGAGTCGCTGAAGTCAGCAGTTAGGGTTAAGTCCATTAGTACATCTAGGATGAAATTGAATAGAAAAGGGGACAGTGGGCTGGCATCCTTGTCGGACACCGCTAGTTGTCACCACTTCAGATGACAACTCACCGTAATCCCTCACCTGGCTGCATGAGTTCGAGTAGAGTGCCTTGATCAGTGCAATGTATTTTCTCGGCATTCCGTTTACAGCCAAACATTACCAGAGTACTTCTCGGTCGACAGAATCGAATGCGACCTTAAGGTCAAGAAATATACCGATTGTTGGACGTCGGTAATTATGCCTACATGTACACTTCCGTGTATAATTCCTGAGACTTTGTTTATTTGTTTGAATTTTCATTTGATTTCTTTGCCTCATATTTGACCTGTATTCGTCTGTAATTTGGCGATGTATAATACAATCAATATTTGTTGCCGTCCAGATGAAACACACTGATACTACAAAAACAGAAATAAGTGATATCCACTCCGTTTAACGTACTGCCTACGTACGCCTACTGCTTTAACAAGCCAACTTTCAACCAACAAGTCAAAATATTTTCTGTTCACTGTCTCTACATTATTTACAGGATAAGCAACCTGGACGGGTACAATCTCGTCGGACATTTCCCAGTTGTTCAGTATACCAATGAGTATGATGAATATCATTTCAACTATGTATTGCTATTAAGCCCTATATACGACAGGTGTAAACCAAGTCTTAAAGAAGGTATCCGCATTATTATATTGGGTAAAATGTCTTCATATATATTCCCCTCTATAAAATGGACACTTCTCATGTGATCAGTAGTCTAACCGAGTTTCTATCAGTATAGTCAAACGCTGTATTGACGATGACGTATTTTTTATTTATTAACTACGAGTACACTTCATCAAATGTCGTTAACAATCAGTGTCTTCAAGAAGCTGCTGCAGTAATTCAGTTGGATATCATGCCTGTGGGCGAGTAAGTTTATCGATGACGTTATGAAGTTATATCGATCGAGATGGCTAGGATATACGTTACGACTTCAAAGTCACCTCCCCCAGAAATGATAGCTGACAGTGAATTAAGTTGGGAAAGTTAGGGTTGGTCGATCAGAACCTCTTATTAGTCCGTGGTTGAGGTCGTCGAAATGTTAAGTGTTAATTTATTAAGACCATTGGCGATGTGGTTCAAAATCATTGTGAATGACTCATATGGATTCACACTTTGTAATCTTCCAGGTACATTAAACCCTCTAGATTTTATTTATTTCTACTCTTCTTTCTCCCGTACGTTTCTGATCATTACAGTTGCTTTCAATTTCTATTTTTTTCACTTTTCTACCTTTGTGTGTTATAGGGAGTGTGGCAACTTGAACTGATGCACTCCTGTGCAGAGTTCTATCTTAAAACTCAACAAGATAGATCGAATGAAAGCATTTGTCGTCATATACAGAAAACGTAGCAAATAAATCAACTGGTCAATAAATCTAACCGTTTCAATGTCTAGCCTTAAGAGTCAGTGCATATCAATCATGTAGCACCTTACATTTGGCAAGGGTGAGTCACACGCCACATATACTCAACTCTCCAATATTTTTACAAGACTCCGTATCTAACCAGTGTCTGCCTGCAAAGTCTACAGCCGCCTACCATTAAATAACGAGATTCCCATTAGTTGCAAGCCAATCCTTCAGACATAGAATCTTTTAGTACACTTATAGTGGAATTAAATAAATACCGCGATAGCCAATATCCTTGACGAACGCTTTTTAATCAACACAGTCGAATGCAACATAGAAGAACCTGAAAGAAAATTCCTGCCAGCCAGTATAGCTCCTTTCATTACTGCAATATGCGACCTACACCTCCAAATTTAAGTAATACCCATTAGTACGAACAAGACTATCTAGAATGATACATTAGAACAATTGAAAACAAGTTCACGTACATGCCTTTTACATGATAACACTAAATTAATTATTTTAGCTACCGGTAAAATACACACAATATTATTATTATATTATTATGAGTCGTATGACAATATGCGAGGAATTAAAATGATACACGGTTGTGTAAGAAAATACAATAAAATAAGCCATTGTTGACAATTCTTCTGAAATAACCTCAGGTGTGAATAATTCAGATAGGACCACTTTGCTAAACCTCAAAAAACATGCAAGTAATTATGACAGCTTAAAAATAGCCTTATTTCAACACAACACTGTTATCAAATCTCACAATAGATGGATTAATGAACAATTCAGATCCCGAATTCAGTACGTGCGAGGTATATTATCCTACTGAAAGCTCTATTCAAACAATCTGTCACAGTCCATAATTACGTATCCATGTTTAGTGGTGATCATAGGGGTAACAATAGCTTAAGCTATACGAACTGACCACAAGGAAGATATTTTAGTTGACTTCATATGCCTCTAGTTTTATGAGTGACAACCTGAAGATGTTGATGTATTTCACACCATCTAAGTTAAAATGAATTAAGTTTAATCAGGATCGATTCCTCATCTAGTAAAACATAAAAGTTGTCACTGGGTTGACTACCTACCTAAGCAACTACTTAGTCTCAACATAGTGAGTGAGTTGAAAGAAAATAAATCCAAGACATGTGAGGTGTATTCGACTAAATTTTGATATAAAACTACATCATTTATCCAAAAAGAGATGTGCCACCACATATTCTGAGTCAGGTGACTTGTGAACAGTGACTGTCACTCCATATTAATTAATTTAAAACATTACTTCCCTAGTGTGATCTGCCGAAACCTTAAGACAGGAGCTGTCTGATCACGCAGCAACACAACCACTCTATCCAAACCAATAATCTTTGAGAAACTCACACACCGCACACCATTAATTCGTATCATATAAACTCATCCTCAACCCCTGTCCAGTCTCACTCTTCAGACTACTCTACCCTGCCCACTCACTCACCTACTTTTGAATTATCTGATTTCATTATCCGTCTATTTGTTCATCCGTTTTCTTAAGCCTACACGATCACCACTAATTACATTTTTATTACTATTGTCATCGACCTCAACGACAACATCGGACGACTACCTGATGAAAGGATTAACTCCATCCACAGCACTACCACTGCCTTACCACACCAAACAGTGTGAAACACATATATATAACCAATCTCCACACCACTCGCCTCCCTAACGAAGCCCAATGCCATCACAAACTAACCGGAAGTTTACCGAAGATAACGAACCGTTACCTTACAAAAAAGATGCAAACTCAAAGAATTCAGCTTGGTTTACACTAGCCCTTAAAACCCATACTGGACGTCAGAAAGATCTTAGTGAAAAAGAAAGCGCAAGGCCTATACATTAGGTTGTAACTCAATGTACTCCAGCTCAAATGTTGTGACATGTCGTAATCAGGAGTAGTTGGTGCAAAACGGTCCACAGATCACTTCGCCTTACGGAGACTGGATCCCTGAAAGTTTAACACAACACGATCTAGTAATATTTGGAAGATAATTAGAATATGAAAGACTGAAAAACCATGCAGTTTTTCACTGAGAGTAAACCGGTCATATGCTGAGACAGGCTGTAAAATGTCCGAAGATATCCATGATGCTGAATTAAATTTCGCTAATTCTGAACTAACTAACATTCTATATTCATTAAATCCTGAAATGGTTTGATTATGCTCACAGTGCTGGTTTTCAGCATGACTGACACTAATTCAGCACCCTGTGCTTTTTCTTAGGCGTTTTCAAAAGTCGCTCAGAACAAACTGAACTTGCTAATCAGAGATTTTCAGTTCTCTCAGCCCAGATTTAGCACTGACTGTTATAACTTCGGAACAAAAAGACTAATTTCAGCACATAGTGGCATTATTTCAGCCACAAATTATATTTTAAAGGTTTCGTCACATTAATTAAGCGTCCAGTGATCTTTTTAAGGGTGACCAGCGTTATTTCAGTACATAGTGGGTTCACCTTAGGTATATGAAATATTCATTTACCATAAAAAGGCATTATCGACGAATAGGTTAGAATTAGTTTAGAATTATTGTAGTTCCAGCACACTACATTGGAACCCGTACTGCAGTATGAGTATGGGTACAACACATTAAGCGTGGTCACAAAATTCATCAAATCTTACCTTAGACAGCTTGAAGATTTATGCCAGAACTGACTTCAGACAGCAAGTTAATCGGCTGACAACACAGACCCAATTAAATATGACGCGTTTAATCCGAATTCAAAGCAACGCCTTCGACTTAGACAAACACCGATCGATGCGCATAAACAATGCGAAAGTATGTGCAACATAGACTGGGACGCCTTCACCAGTGAAACACGAGAGAATACACCTGACCGACAGACCAAAATAGAGAACCTACGCCTACGAGAGAGAACACGAAGACCTGAAGTCATGCGACAGTTCATTATTACAATAAATTGGACTGAAATCCCACACGCTCAAGGTCATTGGGCAGATGAGGTGAATGAATGACAGTTTTGTCCATGTAATTCGGCCATGTTAGAGTGCTATTTGCCAACCGTCCGTTCACCCAGTGAGTTTTGTGTTTATCCTGCAGCTATTGGCAACCAATCTCAATGTAGGTTGTTCATTATTGCTTCGTTTTACATCCTTTCCTCTGGCTGTATGTGTTTCATACTTTGCTTTTATGCTTCAGTGCAGTGTATCATTTACTTTCCAGCTGTTAATGGAATAATACTATGTACAAGTTTCAGAAAATATGGATATGAATAAAAAGAGCTAAACCAATGCAATATGTAAAATGAAACGCTGAAAATTCCATGCTGTAAATTGTTATTGTTGTGAAAAATAAGTGATTATTATTATTACACTGTACAGACTTAGGCGCGCGTATTCAAAGCACAAGTCCGTCAACCAATCATTCATGTGTAGTCCGCTCATATCGACCGACAATCGGTCCACTGAGTTCACGTGGCCCGCATCTACAAAATAAGAGGAACATATTGTATATCTCTGGCATGTGGTATATATATTGGTTTAGAAAATGTTACAGGTATCTCCTCTCGGAAGAGAAGGCACTGTCCCACTGTTGGTAAACGGAATCGGATAAGCCAGTAGTCCATCTACTGGAAATTCCTATTCCGGAGAGATCAGTGGGGTTTTAGAGATTAATGGAGTTGAATAGTGCTCTGGCTTCGACTAGTTATAATGCATTGTCTGGACTTCTGGCCGCTGCAGGTGCCATACAGCGAACGTAAAAGGTGGACGTTTGTAGATAACTTCATATTGTCCATGACCTGAAAGAGGAAACCCACTTAACTTCGCTCGCATAACACGTGGTCGATATAACCAAACACGATCTCATGGAATATATGTATAGTTGGTTTCCTGATGATTACTCGCATACTGTTCATGCTCATTTATTCTATATGCACTCATTATATTCACCAAGTGAAATTTCAACGAACGTGACGGATAATCCCAACCCCGAAAACGAAGGGTTATTCGGGCTTCCTATCAGCGTTGATGACGTAGCAAAATATTTATATAACCCTGTTCTGATACCTTACACTAAGAATCAACCAACTTAACTGTTGAAAAACAATTAAATTATTAGTATTTCATAACTGTAAATTATACAGTTTTTGAAAGTGTCTGCAAACCAGTCAAGGTAGACTTTCCTGTTTAATCTAAATGTATATTATAACAATAAGTGCTACCGGCGTGTCTCTCTCTTGTCGAACGTTTGACTAGCGTACGCAATAATTCTCTCTAGCCCATCAGACATCACGTGCGAGCAGATAGCTCCCGTCACCTGGGCGATAGCGTCAGAAATAAAAAGGAGTGGGTTAGCTCTGTGAGACGTATCCAGAGGTGCTAACACTAGAGGAGAAGTTGAACACAACCTTAGCTTATTAAAAGCCTCCTCGCACTCATTGGTCAAGTAAAATTTCGTCCCTACCCTGGTGCACGATGAAGAGGACTGGCCGCCATTTCGACAAAGCGGAGGTATTAAAATGAGAGCCTAATTAACCAACTTACCGCCAGTATCACTTCCGCTCTGAATGCCGTGGACATTACTTCTGTAAGCACTGATTCCTCGTGGCGTAATCTTATGTCCCAGAAAGGTGACAGACTTCCGTAAAAGGTGACATTTGTACGCCCTCAACTTGTGGTTTCTGTCATGCAGATGTTTCGAAACCGCTCTTAAATTTGTCCGATACCATTTGACTGGCCGTCCAAAGATGATTATAACACAACATAAAATTATTCCTGTCTATACAGGAACACACCAACTGTATAGGTATGGATAACTTATTATTTAAGTTACATATACTGGGTTTATGATGAATTCACACGGTTACTGGCATTTCTGACTTCAGCTATTTGGTCAAATCAGCTAACTAGTCGGTGAATGTAGCAAATCAAGAAGCATGGAAATGTTGTCATTGCAATAACAAAGCAACCTAAGGCTGTGTAGGATGGATCACAAATACCTGGGGAAAAATAAAGCTTTTAGGCACGTCTCTTGTGTACGACATCGAATGCCATTCTTAATTTATTGTCAAATGGTTAGTTAATCTAAAAGAAGTGGAATATTTGTATCACTTTCTTTGTGGTGTCATCATAAGGTAGCATTAGGAGTGAGTTGCATATGATTCAGACGAAAATTGGTCAAAGCCATGTGGAATTGTTTTCCAAAGTCGGCCATTACCTTCATTTGTAGCTGTATGGTGGTCTGTACGCGTTTGGATGCGGAAAACTGTTTGGAAACCAGCTGTCTTCACTTTAAGTCACGAATACTGCTCGCACTGAATATTACTCAGCGTTTCCGAATTTTGGCCCGGGGGATTTTAAGGAAGTTGAGTGATTACGACCGACAGCTTGAGGAATGATGTGATATGGGTGCGTAAGTGACATCGAGTCCTGCTTAACTCATTAAGCCGTATGTTTGGGCGAATCCCACTACAAGGCAAACGGAACAGACGATGCAGGCAGTAATGTACCAGGAAAGGCCTCAATACATGGATATAAGTAGAACCATAGTGTTTTAATGGATACATGCTTAAATTTATTGTACACTTCCATCAACTAAGCTAGTGAACTCATATTCCTTTTATCTTTCCATATATTCATGCAGCTAGCCTCCTTACCGTTTGTGCAGTGAAATTAACGAAGTATTTTGCGTCCTTTAGTCATTCAGTGGTCCTACTATCCGATTTGTTCTAGAAATAAAGAGTGCATTCCTACTGTTTGTGTAGTCATTAGAATGTAACAGTTTGTACAGGGAGAGTCTGAATCTTTGAATGGAGTGGTAGGTTCTGATTTCTTGGGGTAAACTCACCCATATCGTAGATTGCATGATTTTGAAGAGGTTTTTGCGGAGTGATGATTTAAGGGCTTAGATAGTCACTGTGCACGTTTGGATGCGCAGATCGTAAGAGCCTTCTAGTGAGAATTTTACTTCTTCAAAGTCTGAGAATAATATTTTGTGCAAGAACCTGAAGAAATAAGCCATATCGTGCAGAGTGGGTCAGGATCCGGAGAAATAGTCCACAGAGCTCATCGTATGATAGGGAGATCGGTTACTTGGAAATGCAAAAGTTTTCAATAGATTGTATGTATTCATTCCAATCGCGGTAACAAAATGGACTGAAATTTTATTATCTCACAAATTCTTTGCATCAAAGCACTCAGGATAACCAGCGATTCTCTGTGATATGTCGTTGCTAGCATACTTTACATTGGTGTTTATTTCCATAATGTCACCAAAATGCAGTACTCATTTTTCAATTATTTTGCAATGGCCGGATTCCAAGGGATCGGTGAACAGCACGGACTGGACAGAAGTCAGGAATTCGCGTTTGGCCTGGTTGTTTGGTTTTTGCGCTCACAGCAAACAGCAATGAATATTCAAAAGGAGTGGTAATAGGAATTGTCAACCGCCATGGAAACAAAACCTATTTGCCCGGGTTGCTGCTAGCGGATGACGAATGGATTAATGCAGGTGGAAGAACTTTTATATGTGTAAAACTTGGGCACTATGGTAGTAAGTAATTCCATATTAGTTTGTTTATTAGGTATATCACACAGTGAAACAGTATTATTTACTGTATGATTCACTGTGTGATATACCTAATAAACAAACTAATATGGAAGAACTTTTGTTTGGTCCAAAATATTCACCCCAATTCGCCCAACGGTTAGCACACCATATGTCTCTTGGGCACGGCGGCAACTTATTCTTTGAGATCTCTAAGACTTCTTCGACTTTGGTAGACACTTTATTTTCAGCTAATTTTGAGTGGATTAAAAGAACTCTTTGCAGAATTTATCAGTATGGAGGCAAATACAGTGTATTCATGAAATTTCTGGCCAAATATCAAACCTGTATCATTTCAGAGATAGCTGGTATTTTTTAATGGTAAGGATGGGAACATCTGTTCTGACAATCCACCGTGTAGTATGACACTGTGGAGATTGCCCCAGTCCAAAGGAATCCGAACATGTTTCTAGTGAAACCAACAAAGCTTAATTCAGAAACAACCCTGGACCAGGAAAAATCAGACAGATAATCCTCGAACAATACTTTAAGGCTCAGTGTCTACAACCCAGAGATATTTTTAGCACCCTTTGAGTAGGCAGTAGGTGTCAGACAGTTTTAAGCTTGCAGGGAATCCGTAGAAACCTAAATGCAACATGCCAGTAGTGCTAGTAGCATATACAATAAAGGTGACTTAGGAGGTGAAGGGATGCTGATGCTTATGCTGAGTACGATACAAACAAGCGCAAGTTCTTTTTCTCTAACTCCTATAGTGCTTGTTCTGTGCTGACCACGAAAATATCAAAACAACAAGCTGTTCTTCAGAAATATGATATATTTTGGGATAAAAATAGTAGTGCGATGTTCAGTATTTATCTAGCTTGGAATCGTACACGAATGAATGAAAGAATATAACATGGCAGTGGGCTTAATAGTGTGTGTGCTTTGGTGCCAGCTTTTAGCTTAACGAGTCAACTTTGGCAGTGAAGGTCAATATCGAATGTTAAGTGATGGATGCTGTGAGCAAATAATCTTGGGTATCTACTGACTGCCGCAGCAGCTTCAAGAAATATCGGTCGCCACCGACTTGTTGACTGCCAAAATTCCACGAGAGGATGCTGACACTAAGGTATTCCACTTCTGCATTTTTCCTAGACTTGACAAAATCCCTTAACCCTATGCTGCACGAAATTCTTCTCTTAACAGTCTCTGATAAGACTATACGTTACCTCTTGCTATCCTAGGTCGGAGGCTAGCTGTAGGGAGAGGAGTATTTTCAAGGTGTACCACTAATGCTTAACAGAGGGGTTATACATTCAGAGTATCCCAGGGAGCCATTCTTGGTCAGCAGTTGTATCATATTTTCATGAATGAGACAATAATTTCTATAAACTTCGCATTACAGAGACCCTCTCAGGTCTTAGGAAGAACTATCTAATATTCAGAATTAGGCCACAGGAGATCAGCTGGCAGTTAACATAAGCAGAAATCAGCATATTTTCATCCGCGCGTCAGTGGTACAAAGAGTTCCACGCTATTTAATCGGAACGAACAAGTCCCATAAAAAATTACAGACACAACTTTTAAGAATTGAAGACCTGTGTTAATCTGTCGAATAACTCGTCTAGTGCAAGGTGGTTGTGCTGCCGATGTAAGCATCTCATCGTTTCGGTTTATTTTTCAGAGTTGTGCATAATCCACCTACTGGTATTTCATTTCTGCAGTTCTCCTTTTGCCTTTTCTTCTCCATCCTATCTGTTTATTTACAGTAACTATTGCTCTAACTTCTTCTGATTACTTATTCTCTCATAATGCTTTCTGTCCTCATATTATAGCATTTTCCATATTTTCAACTTGTTTGGTGAAAAATCCAGTTGCAAGTTTCAGCAATAATGCTGCTACTTCGGGAGAAAACATATATTCCCGTCAAATTGGACCGACACATACTTTCATCGAGCTCAGAATAGCTACATGAACTGAAGAGATGGATATATCTTAGTGGAATTATGCCATTATATGTAGATGTTCCGAAATACCGATACGCCAACACCATCGAAAATATTTGGTTTGCGCATGCTTGCTAAGAAGACGTCAGATAATATTTTAGCTAATTAAAAGCATCTTTTATGGTATATGAACTTAAAATATAATAACACCCTCTGAAGTTTATTCACTGTTACATTCTCAACCCAATGAACATGTAGTTCATTATTCATACTAAATCAGGCCCGACTGACCTTGTGGAGGTCACGCAATAACTTGGTTCCATCATTCCCCTACCATTGAAAAAAGATGGGTGGGTCAATGTCAAGGATTGTGTCAGGTATATATATTGGTGGTGTCGCCAGTGCACAAGCCAAGTCTCAACTTGAGGAATACGGTATTACACACGTATGCAGTGTTCTCCATTACGATTTCAAGGTACCGACTTGGAGCATACTGTATTATATAATATCCTGAATTTATCTAGTGTCCCTCCAGAAAACACAAATTATTTCGCGCAGATGATGATGCTAAGCAGGACATATCTAAATTCTTTAGAGATGCGTGCTTTTTCATTCATGAGGCCAGAGTTTCTGGAGGTACAGTGTTGGTTCACTGGTGAGTTCTAGCATAACTTATTCCAATTGAAGATAATATTTTCATAGCTCATAAAAGTTTGCATCCACATTTTTAATAACGTGAGAAAGGCCTGAATAGTTGAAGGAACAATATTTGGACTTCGCTTCCTCTAAGCTTCTGTCTGTTTTCGTCATGATTATATACATGGTTTCAGTATGGAGAAAACGTGTTAAGCTGAGTGGGGAAATCAGTGCCATCTCAAGCTTCTGAAATTTATAGCCTCCCTCAATCAATTTACTTATCTTGCCCAAATACTCTACCTCCTACATCACTCGCGTGCTTTCAATACTGCTGATACCGCATTGGCTGAACATTCGGTCTTCATGGTCTTTTTACCTTCAACAGTTATGCTTCTCATCCACGTAATGAGTGATGACACTACTGCGCAACACCTTTGAAGCCATGCCATCAGTTCATGTCACTTCGCCGTCTTTAAGACAGCTCTTGCATTCTCAGCTACAGTTGGAGAGCTGTTGTTTACACCCCCTTCTGGTACATTTTGAACGCCGGGATACTGTAGCATAGCTGCAGGTCAGTTGACTTCAAAGTATTCGCCTTAATCTTCCAATCGACCATCCTAAGAAGTAGTCAAAGTTCCGTCCTTCTCGGTAGTCTTTTCACTTACCATAGGTCTAGTTTCCCTACATAGTTGTGTAGCACTAAATGCCACTAGTGCCTTCTCCATCACTTTTGTTTTCACTACTTTGTGGTTGTTGCAAATACGTTCAGTCAGCTTACATTTGAACAACTTTTACTTCTCGTCATGTTCGAAGCCCACCAGAATCAGTCTTCTTGAGTCTATAAGTTTTAATGGCATTAACTTATCTTTGGTTTTAGGTTACCAACAGTCTTTAACACTGTTTTTACAGCTGACAGGATGTTATACCAGGCTTCCCTTTGTTGGGTATTACTATCAATTTCAGATACACATGTAGCTATTTCTTCCCTGAATGGGGATTCAGTATTATCACCAATTTGAGGGTGTAGCGGCTTCACTTTCTTACATCCGTTCAAACAAAGACGTACATGATCCAGGGGAGGATCGAAGCCTACTCAAGTGTTCCAGAAGTAGCAGTAATCGTCTGCCGACCCTCTCTATGGCCGATTCATCACCATGTAATCTATTTGAGACCATCGTTGATTTAACGATGGAGTTCGCTAACTTAGACAATGTCTCTTTTTATTTAAAATTGCTGCTAGCGAGGTACAGATGATTACCGATCTAATTCATGTAGAGCACATAGACAACAACTATGTGAAATAAAGACACGACGTCGAATCTTTGCTTTAAACAACAATACGTATATACTTGGAATATAACTTACCTCAAAAGCAAAATATTACTTGAGTATATGTCTAGCTCTAGTTCACGGCAATTAGTAAGATTTTGACCAGAGGGCTGGGCTAATTCCTGTCAACCTAGACTACTACTTTTAGCATTGTAAATTGCTTGTATTGTTCGATGTTTGAAGTCGAAAACCTGCGGAGGTCTGAGGCACATCGATGCTGTCATTTTTCAGCATTACTTACATGTGATGGGACCGTTACATGAGTAGCTGATAAATTATAAGTCAAGTAATAAATAAAAGAGATAGAATAGTTGACAAAGTTTCACTTCTCTTTATATCGGTTGGGGTGATTGAAACCCATTCCCCACTAACTCTAACATCCTATTCTAGTTGAAAGAGAATTTATGGTTGAAAAAAATTTAAGATGTTCACATCAGAATATTGTGGGGTTGTGAGTAAGAGTTCTGTTATTTTATTTTTATTTAGAGGGCTAATAAGTAGGTAGTCAGCCAACAACTGGGAGATGTCGCATAGGATTAATTTGTCTACACAAATGCATTCACAAATAAATACTGATTATTGTTTACAGTATTTCATTATAAGCTGACATGGTTAGAGAACCATTGGAAAACCTGGGGTTACTGGATATCTGTTTCGCCCTAGTTAGAGGCTCTTCATCAGTACGCACTCACCGCCACGGTTCGAATCCAGGACATTCTGCTTACAAGGTGAGCTCGTAGACCATTAAGCCACTAGGATCCGATCCAATGGCCAGCCCATGAATTCCAACTTCTGCCAATTCACGACATAGTGCGACCACTAGCCAGTGTCGTTGCTGGCGAGTATTTGTCCTCACGCCCTAGTGGTCACGAATGATAAAGAGTCCCAAACTAGGCTGACGAAAAAGCTGCCCAGTACTCCCAGGTTTTTTGTGGTGCTCTAACCACTGTCAGCCCATCATGAAATCAACACCTTCTAAATTATTCTGCTTGCAGCCAGCAGATTCCCCAGTTTGAAATGCCTTTTACCGATTTCAGGCTAATGAACTGGGTAGTATCACCAGCTCATAACCTAGTATATAAAACATTATTGAAATTCACTGGCCACTGAATTGGGTTCCAGTAGCTTGGTGGTCTACGAGCTTGCCTTGTAACCAGAAGGTCCTGGGTTCGAACTTGGGCGGTGGGTGCGTACAGTACTTCCAAGTTTCCCAGTGGTTCTGTAAACGATGTCAGCTCATGATGAAATCCTGTAACTAATCAAATCCCTGCAAACCAACACTTGAAAGTGTTGATTGTTGTCCGATTGAGATCGCTGAAACCCTTAGTTGATATGTATTCAAATCCGTCTTATTTATTCAAATGTATTCATACCTTTACTTGCTTACCCTCGTCTTTCTCCTTCTGACATTGTATGACACTATAAATACCTTATTTTCTATAGTTGGTTTGTAAGGATCAGTTTTGTTTTTACGAGTTGCCTTGCAACCGGTAGGTCCTCGGGTTCGAACCCCAGTGGGTGCATACTGCCGATGATTCCCAAACTAGGGCTAAACAGCTGTGCAGTACACCCTGGTTTCCAAGGGTTCTCTAACTGACATCAATCCGTGATCAACTCGTAATACCTTATTATTTGAAATGTATTATTCATTTTCGATAGGTATTTTGCTAACAATGATGAAGTTATTTGTCCGTAAATCTATTATATAGTAGATATATGTGTCTCAATAATTCAAGGATAAATAATTCGTTCCCTATTTCATAGATTTCGTGGCATGCATACTTCGAAACAATTGAATGTAAATATTTTTACATGTTTTTTTTGCAATTGATTACAATTTAAAAAAAAAAATTAACAACCAACTTGTTTATTTTTCTCAATATCACACACAAGTGCCTGTGGTGTATCGCGTAGTGTAACAATAACTATCGCTTATCTGATGACTATTACAAATATGCCTTTGCCAAAATTGGTTAAAGCAGTTATCGCTGCAAGACCATGTGCTTGTCCGAATAGTGGATTTTTGGTAAGTTTGATAAACACCTCAAGTATTTTTCTTTTTTTCCCTTTTTCTTCCTTCACGTTCCCGGTGGAACATAGGGCGCTTTCAAGCTAGAGGCCTGAAGTTTCTGTAGCAGTGTTTATTTTACAGGATGGGATTGCTAGCCTCATATTCAACCTTTCCTCCTTACCAGCTTTTATTACCGACTTAGCGAGGTAAAGGAGTGCGTCTGTGGCCGGGGATCGAACTCTGAACCATGTGCATGGTCGGCGAGCGTCCTAACCGCTATGCCATCGACAAAGCCGTTAGTAGAGCGTGGTTACGCTCAAATTTTACATTTAGTCCTTACACAATGTATACATTGATTGAAGTATAACTCAGACTTATTCATCATATCAGTTCATTCTGATTAGTTTAAAAACGTTCAAGATACCGAAGACAGTTGATATTTTCACATCTCACTTATTGTTCATCCCTACTCATCGATGGTGTGCGTCTGTGTGTGTGTGTGTGTGTGTGTGTAAGTAACGCTTTACAACAAAAAGGTTATAAATTCTGCTTACTTGATAATTGTACTGCGTTGCGATAACCCTTCCATTTAAGCATGCTGTAATCGCCATATAATTATTATCCAAATGCATGCTACACACTTTTACCAACCCTCTGTAATTGTAATTGTTGGTGATATAGGTTACTTGTATCCATCAGATTATTCGGGTTCTCTATTTTGTAAAGTTAGTGGTATTGGCCTTCAATAGCTATATGACAATGCCACGTGTCAAGGGATCCACAATGGAAAACTCGGAGAGGTGTTCGAAGTGCATACAATAGTAAGACAAGGCTGACTGCCTATTATCACCGATGATATTCTTAATTGTGTTGGACTAGATTATGCGTCAGACTGTGCGTTGGCGGTAAGGAGTCAGGAATACGCTGGTTGACCGGAGAGAAGACTAGAGGATCTGGATTTCACGCGTGGATGATATATATGTAATGTCACACAAACTCGAAGAATTGTAAGCGAAAATCAACAAAATGGTTGAAAACGCGAGCAGCGAAGACAGGATTCCTGGTGAACACAGAGAAGATGGAGGTGGTGAAGATAACCAACCAACGTTAACAACCAGCACCATTCACCATCAACGGGGGAGATTTATCTGAGGTTACATCCTGGTTAGAAAGCATCGTTTAAACTACAGGCGGAACGGATGAAGATGTCAAAGTCAGAATCGGAATGGCATGTTACGCCTTCATCAACCTAAAACCAATTTGGAAATCTTCTGCATTCAGCTTAAGGAACAAGATTCGGATTTTCAACACTAATGTCAAATCGGTCCTTCTATACAGGTTAGAAACTTGGCCGGCGTGTGACGAAAAGGATGTCCAACAGGTTGCAGACTTTGATGAACAGCTGCCTTCGCACCATACTGAAGATCAAATGGCCAGAAAGAATAAGCAGCAATAAACTATAGGAACAACAAATATGTGGGATAGAATTGAGATGGATCGGGCATACATTGAGGAGGCCATCGAATGACATCGCGCACAATGCAGGTCATTGCTCAAGTGGAATCCAAATGGGAAGCGACGAGTGGATCGTCTTAGGGTGACATGGAGGAGATCGTGTGAGGAAGAGATGACAGAGTTTGGTCAATCGTGGATCCAGCTGAAGAGGACGGCAGAAAACCGAACAAAGTGGAGATGTGTTGTTGAAGCCCTATGTTCCACTCGAAACGCAAGGGAATAATAATAATAAATAATGGTATTGGTCAAGAATATGTAGTAACGTATTATGATGACTTTTCAATTTCTGTCTCTCCGTGTTTGTATCTGTTTACTGTCAGTTCGGTGACAGCCTGCACTTGAGTTGCTTTGTGCATATATGTCCCTGGGAATCCATCGTTTCAGAATTAAGCTTCCAAATGACCCATGTCACAGATGGTTCAATTATAATATGAATAGATGGTTCTATAACACACATATCTGTGTTGTATGACTTGTTTGGTTATTTTTTCTGTTTTTAATTGTAGATTTGATACCTTTGTTTTTCAGTGTAGAATAGTAAAAGTCTGCTACTTTGATTATACACTAGTAACTAGTGTGATATGTCTAGTCATTGCTGTTTGGTGCAGACTGAATTCTATCAGTCAGCCAAGTTTGCAATGTGGCCACCATTCTAAGTAGCTCGCCATCATGGTGCACATTGATTTGGTGATATTAGATGGTTGGAGGCAATCGGCAAGAAGCCTCGGACCTGACTGATAGAATTCAGTCTGCACCAAACAAAGGACTAGACACATCATCATACTAGTTACAAACTAGTGTCCAATCAAAGTATCCACTACATTCCTACAGAAGGTCAATCGCGAGCCCGAATAGCTCAGTGGTAACGTCTCTGACTGCAGAACTCACTGGGGGACGCGGGTTCGAATCTCAGAAGGGACATGAATTCTTCCTTCAAGGTTGCAGATAAGCTTTGCTGACTGGTGAGTGGCAACTAGCACGAAACCTAGGTCCAAGGCTTCCTGTGGCCGATTGCCTTCAACCATCTAATATCATCAAAAGTCTGCTATTTACGAATTTCTGTATTTATCAAGGTATAAACTTGTGCGTGATTGAATCAGAGTTTACTCATAGTGTTCAGACGTAGATTTTTAGTGGACAAATAATCTTCCTTTATGCATTTTCTACCAATTACTGATATCTCTGTTCATCTTAGTTTTTTTTTTGACCTCTTCTCAACGTATTGGTTAAGAATCAGTGACTTTCTAAGCACACTTTTAACAAGCCTCCATTGTTATCAGTTAATTGGCGATATATCGCAACTGCCAAACAATTCCCATCGATGGATAACCAATCGACATGATACACATCATCGGTCAAGACTTCTCATTAGAACTTCAAAACATCCAGATTTCGTAAGGATTTTGGAGAGTCATGAGTGATGCACACTCCTGCAGATTCCCGAACTAGGATAAAGTAGCTGCCTAGCGTGTTTTTTCCAGTTTTCAATGGTCTTTCTAAGTTAACCAAAACTTCACGAAAGCCTAAATTTCGATTTCAATTAGATAATTTAATCTCCTGAGAGGTAAAATCAATATAACATTGAATTTTAGTGGATCTAAAATATTTAGAGATGTTTGAAATCAACATAACATGCTACTTATTGTGCCGCAATAATGTCAAATCTTTCTTACCGTACTCCTGGTTAGGTGTGGCTACTTGTGCAGGCCAGAGTGTGGACTTTCGTCGGACAGGGATTTCTGGCCTATGACAGCATTGACACTGAGCACGACACTGATATGGATAACCTGCCGGAGTGGAGGTTGTCCAAGTCAACTAAGGCAAGGCGGACTGGTGCAGAGTAAGGAGATTCAGTAGACGAAAGTCCCGGTGTGATGCGGTCGAAAGATAGTATAGGTGAATAGTAGCCACGTGAAACCCAGGTGGGCACGTTAAGTCCGCCTTCTTGGGATAGAAATCTACTTCATCTATTTCAGCCTGGGAGATAAGGAAGGCTGTATATGGTTATCTCATGTAGACTGATCTTTCAAACCTCTCCCCCCCCACACACCTCACTTTCAGTTATTTTCTTCTTTTATATGTATTCATTCATCGATCGATCTATCTATCTATCTATCTATCTATCTAGGAACAATTAAGAGACTATGGAAAATCTGGTGCTGCAGCCAAAGTTAAACAAGAACTGATTGAACATTTCGGTGAATGGCCTAAAGAAAGACAAGAGGCTGATATTGCTGAATTAACAGAACTGTTGCTCAGGCCAGAAAGTGCTACTTGTATTGGTGCAACCGGTGGGATTGTAGTTCCAGATGACAGTTTTGGAGATGCTGTTGATAATAACAGTAGTAATATTAGTGGTAAGAATAATCATAATAATAATAACAATTATAATAATCAAATTAATCATCAAATAGAATCTGGTAGTAATTATTCATCACAGACAACGTATATTGCAAGAAGACCGGAAAGTTATACAATCTATCAAGATAAACCATTGTATATGCAAAGATTACTTGCTGAATGCGATGATACAGTGTCGACTACATCGACATCATCGTCAGTGATAGACATCACACAGAAAAATGGGGATAAAAGGTAACTTCATTGAGATTTCTAATCTCCGATTACTATTCTTACCATCATTATCATTATCACTATTATCATTATCATCACGACCAATAATAAATGTAAGTAAAACTACCTTCACCCAATCCCCCTTTATGAAACAATCAGTATCTTTATTTATGATCTATTTCCTCCTCTTCGTCTAGTTCTTCTTCTTCATTATCCCTGCATTTTTATGAATCTCTAAATATGTACAAGATCTTTGCTTACAGCGTTTCCACTTGCTGTACTTCTACTACTAGTGCTTCAAACGAGAACTTGGTATTAGTCGATGAAATCCTTGACAGTTGGTTTGTGCTAACCATATAGGGAGGAGGTGTAGACTGCCTAGGTGAGACCACCGGCGGTTTCCAAGATCCACTGGCTGGTGATATGACTCCGAAATCATTGTCACTCTTTGTAATCTGCTCAGTCTGTTAAGTCCTACTGTTTCCTGTTTTCCATCTTACTATCTTACTTTCTCCGTCACATTTCTCGCTTATTATTATTATTGTTCTTTCGAATCTCTTTTGTCTCCTTTTTTTGTGTCCATATGGAGTATGGCGGCAATCCTTGACTTGAACTGCTGCAACAACTTTCTATCTGTGCAAAGTTCTTTCTTTGCTGCTAAAAAAAACCACCAGCCAGGCAGTCACTACTGCAAAAATCTAAAAAAATGGAATATATGTGCAAATTCATTGACAAGAAAAAATGTGTGTGTTTACTTTTACACCTTATTTTTGTACACCTTCGTTTAGAGACATTCTTTTCGACCATCGCCACCCACCCCTCTCCCACATCGTTTTTTTACTCCTCTTCTTATTAATGTCGTGGAGGGGGGAGGGAAGCACAGATACATCTTTTTTTCTCTCTCTCTCTTCTTTCCCTTTATAATGTCATTGTCAGTCAGTTAGTGATTCTTGTTTTGGACAACAAAAAGTATCTTTTATTTATCAACGGATTAGTCAAAACATGATATACTTACTGTCTTATGCAATGGAGCATGGAGTTTATTGATTAATAATAATAATAATACTTGCACTGTATAGTAAGTATTCTATCCTATTTCTTTTTGAGATAATCAATTTCTTAACTATTTTTAAGAAATACAAACATCTCTGTACATTATTCCTTGTAATAGTAGTTTGTATTTAAGATTGTACACTTTACCTTATAAACCAGTATTGTTCCTTTCATGATTATGTGTGTTCTTTGTGTGCTGAGCTGATCTGAGGGCAGCGCTTCCGTGGTACATCTAGGTTATCTGTTGTCAGTTCTGTTTGGCTGCATGACTGTGGACCCGCTTTCGTTTCCTCCTTCTCTTCCTCTTCCTCATCATATAACCTTCCTCATGCCACATTCGGTGACCTAACTGGTTACTGAAATTCTGAGTTCTACTGGAAGGCTTGATGTATAACGTTATTTTGCGGGTCTCTTCAGCATATGTTGAATCCACCTGCATCCATTTTCTTCTGTACATGTATGGTTCATCGTCTGTCGATTTCTCTTTCTGCCCGGCTATCTAATCTTCAGTATATCGAGAGTGATGACAACTGTTGATAAAAGTCTGCATCAGCTAGTTGGAAATGATTTTGGGGAGGCACCGCTTCGTAAAACATCCTGATCACCATAGAAACTTTAGAACATAGTGAAAATAAATGTATAGGTCGTTGGTTTCAGCGTGTTGCATACATTAATTTTGCGATTGTTTCTATTTCGGCGAAACTTTATGAAATCGGTATATAAAGTATACAGTTGTGATAAGTGTGTGTGTGTGTGTGCTACAAGAATGAGTTGATGAAATTGTGTATTTTGTCAACTAAAAGCACTCGCTTTGACAGTCCCTATACTACCAAATTAATATTATTTCCTTTAATTCCTAGAGGAACATAGGGCTTCAGCCGCGCGTCTCCATTGCGTTCGGTTCTCTGCTAGAGTTTTCACCTGGCTCCAAGTCTGCCCACACGCTTTCATCTCCTATTCACATGACTTCCTCCAAGTCACCCTCACACTGACGACCAACTCGCCGCTTCCCTTTCGGGTTCCACTCGAGCAATGGCTTGTCTAGTGATGTCACTTGATGGTTTCCTCAGAGTATGGCCAATCCATCTCCATTTCTTCCTGCCTATTTGTTTCACAATCGGTTCCTGTGGTTGGTTCGCTCCCAGAGATCCCTGTTGCTGATCTTTTCTGGCCAGCCATCTGATGTTGAGTATTGAGCGAAGACAACTGTTAATGAAGGTCTGTAGTTTGTTTGAGATGCTCTTTATGACGCGCAGTGCAAGTCTCTGATCCGTATAGTAGCACTGACTGTCACATTGGAGTTGAAAATTCACATCTTATTTTTGATGCTGAGTGCTGTTGACCTCCACACACAGACTTGAGAGTAGTGAAAGCTTGTCTTGCTTTTCCGATTCTTGCTTTGATATCCTCGTCAGTTCCGTTGGCCTGTAGTTGAAACGATGCTTCCTATGTAGGTAGGTAAAGGAGGTTGTTTCTTTCAGATTCCTCCCATTTATGCTGATTGTTGTCTGTTGTTGGTGTTGCTCAGGAATCTTCATCACCTCTGTTTTCTCTATGTTCACCTGAAGTCCTATCTTTGATGCTTCTTCTGCCAACTTGTTGCTTTTCGCTTGCATATCTTCCAGTTTGTGGGAAATCAGACATATATCATCGGCGAAGTCCAGATCCTCCAAGTATTTTGTGTGAGTCCATTTTATGCCTGTTTCCTCGCTGCCCACTGTTTGTCGCATTATCCAGTCTACCGCAATCAGGAAAATCATTGGTGATAGTAGGCAGCCTTGTCTTACTCCTGTCCTCACTTCGAAGGATTCCGTAAGCTTCCTGTTGTGGATTACTTGGCATGCAGCATTGTCGTACAACTGTTGGATGAGATGTATAATTGTCGGTGGCACCCCGTAGTAGCGAAGTAGTTGTCAAAGCACTTCTCGATACTACCAAATGAATGAATAATATTCTTTTTAGTCAATTCTCCTCAGGTTCTTCTTCTGATTGTTATTCCTAGTGGAACATAGGGCTTTAAAAGCACAACTCCATTCCACCGTATTCTCTGCATCCCTCTTCAACTGGCCTCACGATTCCCCATAAGCTTTCGTCGCCTCCATGCCATACTTAGAGCCATGCTAATCTGGTCGTTTCCCACTGGACGGTCTGCGGCGAGATGTCACCCAGCGGTCTCCTCAGCTTGTGTCCGATCCATCTCCATATTTTATTGACAGAAGGTTCTTGGTTGGTTAGCTCTCACAGCTTCTTGTTGTTAATTCTTTCTGACTAGCCATCTGATCTTTTGTATGGAGATAGCGATGGCAGTAGTTGTAGATAAAAGTCTGCAGTGGCGTGTTGGAAATGGTCTTGGTGGTGCACACGCGCCAAGTTTGTGACGCATACAGAAGAATTGACTAACTTGACATTAGTGTTGTAAATTCGGATTTCATTCTTTTTGTTGAGTGCAGCAGACTTTCAAACTGATTTTAGAGTGGTGAAGATCTGTCTTGCTTTTCTGATACTGGCGTGGGTATCGTCATCCGTGTTCTCCGCTTGTGGTTGAAATGATGCTGCTTGGATGAGTGAAAGAAGCGACCTGTTTCGAATTTCTCTCTTTGATAGTGACTGGTGCTTGTTGTAGTTAGTTGATCGCTGGATATCTTCGCCACCTCTGCTTTCTCTATGTTCACTTGAAGTCTCGCCTTTGCTGCTTCTTCTGTCAGTTTATTTGGTGTCCACCTGTAAGTCTTAGAGTGTGTGTGTGTGTGTGTAACCTAAGACATAAATCTTTGACGAAGTCCAGATCTTCTGGAGTCTTTTCGTCTCGCTCCCATGCACGGTTTGCGGCGTAATTGAATCCTCCACAATTTCGACATGAAACGGACATGTTGTCAACACCATAGCTAACCAAATCAGTTTTCAGACATTAACCGGCATAGTACTGTTAGCCTGAATGTATTGGTGAGTTCTGTAGTCTTGTTAGTAAGCTAAGTAACGAAGAACTACAGTGCACTTCACTTCGATATTCAATTTGACTAGCCAGAGTTCACTGTCTTGTTTAAATGCATACCTAAATACTTGAACCTGAGCAACAATCCAGTATCATAAAATCTCAAGTATGTGGACAGTCTCTACAAGGTGACTGGGTTGTCCTCTAGACACTGACTGTGTCATAATCATGGCAGATATATGTGTTTTCAAACTCTGATGTCTTTCCATTCTTTCATCTTCTAAGTGGAACTTAGGACCTCAAGTCCTAAGTAGTGTTGTTGTCTTTAAGGGGGTGGGGTGGTGGGATTGCCCAATTTCCTCTCTTTTCTGGCTAGCTGAGGTGTCGGAAGTGCTTCAACCGAGAATTGAACCTGGGCTCTACATGCATGGCTGGTGAGTATTCTACCAATAAGATGCAGACGTTGGCTTAACTATCTCTCTGCCTGTTTTCGACATAGAACTACTTTGCACCGATGTGCAGCAGTTCAAGTTGCCACACTCCCTCCTTGTAGCACACAAAGCAAGAGAAAAAATGCATAATACAGACAGTAAACAGAGGTGTGAGGCAAAGGAATAGTAATATCGAAGATCAATATAGTTTTATTAGAAATTACAAATCACAAGGAGTGAATCCATCTGTGCTAGCCATTGACAACGATTTTGAGCCATATCACCAACTGTCTCCAGCCATTAGTTTTTACCGTCCTGAGGACCCCAACAACCAGGAAGTCTACATCTTCCTATGTGGATTTCATTGACTGTTGAAGCCATATTTTGGTTTGACCACCACTGGCTAGCTCTTTTCCAACCTGACCTTAAGCCAGCTGACTAACATTGCCCGTCGATGAAGGCGATGGCTAGGGATGCGTGTATAACACATGTCCTAACCACCTCAATCGATTTAACTTCACAGACTCGTCTATTGATTTCCCTCCTTACCTAGCACTCGACCGATGGCCTAACCTCAATATTGCTCACCCTATTATACCATTTCACATGGGAGATAGAACGCAGGGACCTATGATCAAAGACAGCTAGCCTTTTCATGTCCTCTACCCTCAATGGCCAGGTCTCACAGCCATAAAGGAGGACGGAGCGGACTGATGAGCAGTACACACGTCCTTTGATCGATAGCCGGATATCACATCTACTAAGTCGGAGATGGCGTAAACTGTCATATGTGAAACGAGCCTTCTGTATCCGTGCTGAGATTTAGTCAGCGATCAACCCATTGGCGCTGGCTGATGCAACTTCTCAAATAAGTGAAGTGGTCAACACGCTCTACCACTTCACTCCCTATCTTCAAGCCAGAAGTCAGTGTAGTCCAGTCCTGTAACATCACTTTACATTTGGCGGGAGTGAATCGCATGCCAAACATTCGAAGATTGTAGCTCAAGGCGTTCAGAAGACTCTGCATTTTGTCAGCGTCTTCACCTACAAGGACAATATCGTCTGCATGTTCTAAGTCAACGAAATTATTCCCTGATAACAAGTCGATCCCTGAGTCGCTGAAGTGAGTTAGGGTTAAGTCCATTAGTACATCTATGATGAAGTTGAATAGAAATGGGGATAATGGGCATCCCTGACGGACGCCACTAGTCGTCACCACTTCTGAGGACAACTCGCCATAAGCCCTTACCTAGCTGCATGAATTTGAGTGGAGTGCCTTGATCAATGCAATGTATTTTCTCGGCATTCCGTTTACAGCCAAACATTACCAGAGTACTTCTCGGTCGACAGAATCGAATGCGACCTTAAGGTCAAGAAATATACCGATTGTTGGACTCCGGTAAGAATGACTATGTTCTAGAATCTGTCGAAGGATGAAGATATGATCAATACACCCTCCTCCTGGTCTAAAGCCTGCCTGGCTTAACTATAGCCTTATATTTATATGTTAATCAATAACCAACTACATTTCTATGCAGTTGATAACAAGTTGCACGCATTGTGTATGCTCGTGTACAGGTTAATCACCCTACCTAGCCTCCTCCTCCTCCCCCACCCCAACAAACCTCGGTAGGCGGACCGGTGTTTGAACCTGTTACTCAGTGTTTTTGGATTCCAAGAACTTTGCTGACCAACAAGTCACTTTGTGAAACCGATGAATATTCAGCTTTAATGGGATATACGAAGTTGGAGATTCGGATTGTTTCATCACTTTCCGTCTGTGTTATTGTGCCATTTTAAAACGGAGGAATGCTGACAATCATCATGGGGGCATTTGGATTCATTAGTGGACATCAAAACAAATCCTCACACTAACCCGTGTGATTAAGACAGTTAATTAGTTACATTGAAGACATTTTCATCTGAAAAAAAGCATTTTCAAAAATATTTTACAAGCATGCGTCGGCGGCACAACGGTTAGGACTT